ACAAAAAAGCAGCCCATAATTTCATGTGATAGAAGGCACAGCAGCTGCAGCTTGAAAACCTAACAGCTAGGATTTCGACTCAAATGGGAATAAAAAAAATAAACGCTTAGGTGGAAGAGCAAACAGGTTTTGCAAAGCTCTCCTCCCTGCCAGGGATGGGCAGAGAGACACAAAGTGCAGTTAAGATATCACTTGGTTATTTCCTGTGAATTTACTGCCTTTCTCCCATGAAGTTCACTGTTCACCTCAACTTCTTCAAGTGCTTTCTAAACCTGAGTGCCTCGGGAGGTACCTGCTTCTGACCAGCATCTGAACCAAGACTTGGCTGCACTTCTTTAAGCACTGCCCTAGAACTTAGGGATGTGGACATCACAGCCAGCAACAGAACCTGACCTCCCGCTGAAAAACACCTTCAGCATCATGAAACTGAAGCTTTCTAAGGGTGTTTTAAGGCACCTACCACTTAACACACACGATTTAGAAAAAAAAAAAATACTTACACGAAGTTATGGTTAAAGCCGTTTATTCATGCTATAAAAGCAAGCACCTGCAACACTTGCATACACAAATGGGCTATAAAAAAGGCAAGTTTCCCAGGGCGGGTGTGAAAGCAGGCCTGGAGTGGAAGGGAAAACATAAGCAGGAGCAGAACTGCTACAAGGACCTCCAAACTCTCCAATTTCACTGCAGAAAGCAAGCAGCAGCATGGAAGCAATTAACACGATTCCTAGGAGCAGAACGGGTATCAGACAAGAGCACTTACTTCCAGGCACACAATGAGCTGCAGCATGTGGACAAGTCCTTCTTATCAACACAACATCCAAGGAAAAAAAGCATAATCCATAAAACATGTAAGATTTCAACAACGTGAACACACGCAGCATGAAAGCCCACCAAGGAACGATTAGTAAGTGCCTATAATCTATGAAACAAGTCAGGACTCTTTAGGCATAACTCAATGCACAAGGAGATGTGAATCTCCCAGACAGGAGTACAACTTTGCTTTCCTTCCTATTTAAAAAGCAGGTAAGCCCTGCCCTAAAGTTCATGATACTTTCTCTGTACACACAGGTGTTTCCAAACCCTCCTGATGGAACTCTTCCAGTTCATTGTATCAGCAAAAATATTCACGGTGTTACTCTGTGTCAACAAAAATAGCCAAACAAGAAAGTGTGACTTGGGGAAAATGAATGCTTCCTGCCTTAAAATGAAAACAAATATGCTGCTCAAAAGCACCACTACCTCCCGAATGCCTTGAAAGCCAGACGATGAACTCAAGCTTCCAGTGCTACAATGGAAACTGAACTGACCGAGGGACGGCAGAAGTATGAACAGAACAGAAAGCAAAACAAAATTTCTTCGAGTTAACTATTTCCAGCCTTTCAAAATACTCCAAATTGAACATTAAAATCTAGCAACCAGTGAAGATCATCCTGAGGTGATCACTCAAGGACTGAGAATGAAATTCACATCTCGTTCCTACTCTGTCAGTGTTTTAATAACCTTAAACCATGCCCTTAACTTGCCATCCACGCACCTTCCCCCAGCCTCAACCCTGTCACACAGTTCGTGCACGGCCATGACTGACACAAGTGCTCAGGCAAGAACTTTGAGGTGAGCGTTCAGATTTATCTGACCAGCAATCTAGGTATCCTAAGTGACTGCCACCAGTATCAGCATCAGCAATTACCACCACTTCCTAACAACTCCCATGAAGTTAAATCCAGCCTGAAGTCCTTCAGAAGGAAATTTATCTCATTAAACATGATTCTTCCCCCAAAAGAGGTAACAGCATTCTCCGGTAATATGTATTCAAATTAAGAAAACAGTTGTATGATAAGAAACAAAACAAAGGCTTATCTATTCTGCAACCTCTCCCCCTTCTAGTAAAAACAGTTCATTAGCACCACGACACACGATTTCTATTCAGCAGAAGGAAACCGCGAGGAAACACTCAGCTCAGTTTCTGAAACTCACAGAAGGACACACTGCTTAGCTGCAATCTCCCTCTTACAGGAGATAAAACAAAACACGCTCTCTTACTCAGGTTTAATTTAGGATAAATTACAAACGCTTGCTAACATAAACACACTACATACCAGAAGCGTAATTCTTTCACAGCTGGAGTCTCCACGTGAGCAAAATGAGCTGCTGATTTGTAAACGCTGGAAGTGGACATAAATCTCTAAGATACGTAGATGGAAATAATTCCAGGGCATTCGTCTTGATCAAATCAAGAGAGAAGTCAAACAAAGATGCTCACACCACGCACTGGGCAGTATCACTTCTTGCAGCATGACCAGTGGTGCATATCGTTGCGCTGTCTCGGACTACAGAGTCCAAACAACTTCAGTAGCAGTATTAGAAACAAGTGATAATGATTAATCCCTCCCAAGCTTTAAACCTTTCTACGCTCCAGATGACAGTAGCAGTATAAAAAAAAAAAAAGCCTTAAAAAACAAACAAATCAGAGGCTGTATTTTTGGTTTGCAAAATATCAACAAAGCAAACCCTACACCTCTACTAGCGAAACCGGGTTGTGAAAAAAAAATACAAGTCAGACAGAAAGCTCAACCCATTTTAAGTCCTGAAGAATTTGTAAATCCCTAGTTGTTCTCAGTTACCATCAGCCCTGGAAGTTGCACTATATCACAGTCAAGCCCTACGCACCACACGAGCTCTCTGGTTTCAGGACCACTTGGCAGGGAGGCACACACGGACAGCAGCGTGCTGGGAGCTTCACATCTTTCTGCAGCAAATGTAAGTCAGCAGCTACCCTAACGGCTTCAAACACCTTCCACAGCAAACATCCCCGGCAGAAGTTGGAGCAAGAACACCTTCAGACAGCTACGGCACTGAGATGACACAAATGGATGCGTGAACATCTCCCTCTCCCGAAAGTCCCTTTCAGGACACATCAAGCGAATCGCAGACAGCTTTTTTCGTAGCAAATATTGCTAAAGAGAATTTCACCAACATTTACCTACTGCCATCTACAACAGCCTTTCCGAGAAGCGCTTTATGGACCACTAACACATAAGTCTACTTTAAAAAAAAAATAAAAAAGAAAAACAAGGATCCCTATCTATTTGTGTGACACCGGACAGAAACATACCCCGAGACTGAAGCTGTCACTCTCTGTTAATAGCACAACTTACAATCTCATTTGGCTAATGTATCTAGCACCGTACTTATACATTGCTTCACTGACCATCGCATTCTGAGACTATTGCATAATGTATCAAATACAGCTACATTTTACTGTGGTAAAATAAAAAAAGAAACAACAAACAACTCATTATTACAGAAAAGAGACATTTCAGTACAACACTAAAGCAGTTTTACTGCACTATAAATCTAAACTTCACAATCATTCCGGCAGCCCACAGAGTAGCTTGCTCACGCTTAACTTGTTAACGGAGATGGTTTTATTTAAGATGTGAGCTATCAAAACAACAGAATGATTTATTATAAAAAGCCTTGTTTTATAAGCACTAAATGCAGACACAGGGCTGCGGGACATCCTTTAAAGACAGAAAACCAAAGGACCCGCCAAGATCGCTTCGTTATCACCACGGTGTTGTTCCTTTTAGACACGCTCCGGGAGCCCGGCAGAAGCTGCCACTCGTGGAGGCTCCGTGGGCTCGTTTCACGCTGTGCCAGCAGCGGGTGCACAGCAGGAACACGGGCAGGATGCTACGCCAGGGGATCCCTTCCAGCATCAGCAGGCGATTGAGAAAACCAATCGGGGAGGCACGAAGCCTCCCTTTGACAGCTGCAACCTCGGCAAAGCCAATCCACAGGCGCAGAGCCCTGCCTGAGGCGGAGACACGGCTTCATTGAAGAAATCCTTGCGGGCACACTCACTCCGGGCCGGGGGCTCTGAGGGCCGGGGGCTGCCCAGCGGGGCCCCACAGCACCAGAGCCTGGCCTCCCACCGCTTGTCACCGCCTTTCCTCGGCGGGACGGGCCCGTTCTCGGCCGTGCCGCTAAAACAAGCTCTATTCTCGCTGGTTTTCTCCTCACACCGGCTGTCGGTGCTGTGACAGGGGCCGTGCGGGCAGCCCCGGCCCGCTCGGGCTCGCCTCAGCCCGGCCCTGAGGCGAGCCGGCGGCGGCACGCTACGCCAAGTGCGCCCGCCCGCTCATTCAGAGCCGCGTCTTGCGCCTTCCTCCTCCCTACGCTAGCGTAGCGGCCTCCCCCCCGCTCATCAAAACAGTCGCGAGTCGGGACGCAAAGAAGATGGCGGAGCAGGGCCCGCTTACGGCGCCGGACAGCGGCTTACGCTGCGCTCTTTGCGCAGCGCCCCGTAGGACCCGTGCAGCGCCGCGGCGGGGAGCGTGCGTAGTGCGCTTGGTGAATGCCGATGGCCTATTTCCCGTGAGGGGAGGGGGGGGGTGGCTGATAAACAATGGTGCCCCCCCTGCGCGGCTCCCTTACCGATTCCTCCTCCTTCTCCATCCCCGTGGGCATCTGCGGCACAGCCCGGTTGATGGAGACGCAGTCGTTGAGGTCGGGCATGTCCTTGCCGCGGTAGATGGGCAGCGGTTTGGCGGCGTCTAGCGCCCGGGCTCGGAAGGAGAGTTTGCTCATTGTCTCCCCCTCACAATAACACCCCGGGGCCGGGCGGGCGGGGAGGGGAGGAGGAGGGGGGGGGGGGCCCTCAACGCGGCCTCGCCGCCGCCTCCCAGCCGCTCCCGCACCCGGCCCGCACCACCATGGAGGGTCCCGCCGCCCCGGAACAGCTCTCCGCGGGGCCGCCCGTAGCTCACAGCGCACGCCCCGCAGCCCTAGATCCGCGCCGGGCTCGCTCGCTCCGCTCCCTGCGCCATGGCAAACATGGCGGACATTAACCAAAGCCGCCAGCGATCCCGGCAGCCACCGCGAGAGCCGGGGGGGGGGGCAGAGAGGAGGAGGGAGGGAGGGAGATGGCGGCCGGCGCGGTGCGCGCGCAGCCGGGGGCGGCGGGAGGCGGCGCTGAGGGGACGGGACGGGACGGGACGGGACAGGAGGGGAGCCCTGAGGGGATTTGAGGGTGAGCCTGGACCGGGACCAGGACCAGGGACCGGGACCAGGGGTTGCCTCTTTCCCCGCCCGCATCTCAGGGCTAACGGCTCCCCGCCTCACGTCCTCGCCTCATGAGGCAGCCCCGCTCCCGCCGCGCTTCTCCTCAGGGAAGGGGGCGCCCCCTTCGCACCCCAACTTCGCAAATCTAGGATTTTTTATTTTTTTTTTTTACCTCTAAACGTTATCATTCTTATTTATTTATTTATTTATTTACTTATTTACTTGTTAAGCTTAAAGACAAGCGATCGGCCGCCTCAGGATGCGCGTGACTCCTCAGCACCAGAGGCAGCCCCGCTCCCGCCGCGCCTCTCCTCAGGGAAGGGAGCGCCCCGTTCGCACCCCAGTTTCGCTAATCTAGGATTTTTACCTCTAAACGTTATCGGTTTTATTTATTTAATTATTTATTTACTTACTAAGCTTAAAGAGCAGCGATCGGCCGCCTCAGGCTGCGCGCGGCTCCTCCGCACCAGCCCTGAGGCACCTGTCGGAGCTCGCCTGGCCGTGCCCGTGTTGTATTTTCAGCAGAAATTATTCCCGCTCGCTCCTTATTTGTGGGTTAAATCGTGTTCCAGCGGTAGAGGTGGCTGTCGGAGGGATCTTGTCAGGGTGACAGGCTGGCAGCCGAGGGGTGCCTCAGCGAGGCAGCGGCTGAGGGGCTCAGGGCTCCCTCACGACCAGCGGTGTAAGGCAGCATCGCTCACTGTTAAAGCACTCTGAATTACAGACACATGCTGTATAAACACCATGGACTCCAACTAATATTACAAACTGACACTTCAGAAACAAACTCACGCTTGTCCCGTTCTATTTTTTTCTCTACAAGAATGTTTTCCTGTATTACTCTACATGGACCTGATCTTGAAGAGGGGCAGAAATTCCGCTTTGTGCCAAGTAAGGAGTTTCTTTTGTATTAAAGGCTTTTCTCTAGGTCTGGAGTTACTCAGGGACAGCTCCACGTTTTGTGTTCAGTGATGCTACTCTGCTGTAAAAGTGCCTTGCTCTCCTGTTTGGTTTGGCCCACTTTCAAAGTGTACTAAGCTAAATGAGCACGGCATCCAACTTTCAGAAGAGTGTCCTCAACTTGGAAAGAAGAGCTCCCCGTGTGGACAAAGCCACAGTCCTCTAGCATCCCAGAGCTTCCCACGTCTACCCAATGTATTGACTTTAGTCTGCAAAGCCCTTCATGCTTCACGTACCTCATCACTTCCAGATTATCTTGACATCTTAAGCTCAGGTCAGCTGCTTTTTCTCATCTCCACCTTAGAGCTCTGTGTTGCAGTTCATTTTTTCGTTACCTTACACATTTGTTATTTGTGTAGTTTTATACAGTAAATGCAACTACTGCTTGTGATGAACACAATTTACAAAACGAATAATGAATTACATCGGAGGGAGATGAAACAAGTGCAGTAATGCACAAGAGGAAAAAAGAAGCAACAATAAGTTTATGTTCGTGTCCCATGTACCCAAATTAGTGTGGGAGAGAGATCTGGAAATTATGTCAGCTACTCCTATGAAAGCATCAGGTTAGTGTTCAGTTATGTAGTGAAAATATGAATAAATGAAGCTTTAAAATTATGAGAAAAGGAACACACAACAGAGCTGTGAGATACTACTGGACTGAGATACACTTACTTATAACTCCCTTAAATATTTATTGTTCTTAAAGATTATCAATTCTTGACTTGGATTAGAATCACCACCCTTTTATGCAGAAGCATGCCATAAACCAGTTCAGAGAGCTAAGTACTGGTCTTGCTCGTAGTTGCCCAAATTGTGTAGGAGATGCTTTAAGCAATGTTTCTCATTGCATAGATACTTAAAAGTTGTATAGTTTGTAGGTTAAAATTTATAGCTCAGCACAGTTTTAGAAGCATCCAAACTTCTGATGCCCAAAGTTGACTTCCCCAAACTGATTCACCAGTGATTGGTAGCAGCAGATTTTTGCCATTTTCCAAAGAGTAATTGCAGTGCACTTCTGCAAGAGCTTTAGATTCTGAGGCTTACTCTGCAGTGCCAATCTGGAGACTGTAGATGAAATTAATCCGTGGGCTCTTCCTGAGCTGGAAACAGTGCATGTAGTGCATCCTCTCAGCCCTCTAGAGCAATCGGGTCCCAAAAAGCTGTGTCTGAGAAACTCAAAGTTGAAATAAGGATAGTCGTGTTAACTGTCTCATCTAGGCAAAGGTGGTGGCAAAGGGAGCACTGCAGCTCTGGGAAGCCCAGGAGCTAGGTTAGCAGTTTGAAGAGTGATCTAGTGAAAGGATGAGAATTCCCTGACTGTTCCCCCACCAGGCAACTGCCTGCAATTGTCTTAATTATCAGCTGCTAAACTGGGTGCCTAGAGAAAGTGCTAAACTGAATTCAACATCACCTGCCAAGACCCTTTTTCACAAGTCAGCTCAGGCATTTAAAATTGTGCCCAGCTGTGAGCTTTCCCTACAGAAGTTGACAAACAGTGTACAAGAAGCATGAATTCCACACTAAGCAAATAAAATGCAGTTTCAGCTCATGGTTCATGGTTTTTATGTATAAATACCATTGTATAAATTCTCTTACAGCCCTGCTGTACAGATAAAGTATTTTAAAATGTTAGGTTAGCTGCATGGAACAGGCAGTTCCTCCTGAAGTAGTTCCTCCAGAAGCTAAAAGATAAGAAGGGCTTTCCTCTTTCTGCTTCCCTCCTGTCAAGAAGGAGGCATTTTACACTGCCATAAGATTTTTTTTATTTTTATTTTTCAGTTAGCACAACTGAACAACAGACATGAACAACCTTTTTCCTTTGTGTGCATGTTTCATTCTTTTCCACTGCTTAAACCAAAAAAAGAACAGAAATGCAGCACATTTACCCTCAAGGCGGCTCTTAGTCCTAAACTCATCCCATTATTTTATTTCCACAAGCAATGCAACTTTTTCAGAATTATGCCCTGTAGTGTGCTGAGGGTTTTTTTTATGTACTCCAAAAAGCCATTGCACACAGCTGAACATGAGTAGAGCTAAAGTTTCAACTTATATTAATCCTTTATATAGCTTAGCTTTAAGCCAGAACCATACATCTTTTCAGTACATACTCAGTTCATACATCCTGTAAATTATTACAGCTTTTCTGAAGAATTCCAGCTGTTGTGAGCTGCACTTGACCTCTAGATAACTTGCTTTTGATGCACAAATAAAGAAAACAACATTTCAAACAAAATGATTTGTTCAGTAGTTGAATTCTGGCGATTGAATATACGCGCTTGCGTCCTGGATGGAATATAAATACCTAAATTTCACATGAACACATATATCAATGTAAATCTGTTAGGATGAAAAAGAATTAATGTTCTGTCTCAGAGCAAGTATCCTAATGTTTTTTCTAACTGCTTGTATTTCAGATTTCCCAGACTTTTGGTCTCTATGATAGAAGATAGCATTTGCTTACAAGAATACTGCTAACATTGCAACAGACAATAGTTTATAATGGCACAGAACGTCCAGGATACAGGTAGGAGATAGATAGAAGGAAGAGCATATATTGTAAGTTAGGTACAGGCTTTATCAGCTTTTACACGGTGTGCTCTTGCTTTTGTTTGTTTCTTCGTAGTGACATCTAGTACAAGGAATGCTTGTTCACAGGGTCACTGCCTAAAGATTGTTTTGTTTTTTTCTGGTCATCTTTTTGCAAATTTTTGCTGTTTCCTTTCTTTGCTAGTAATACACATCCCACATCATTAATCTTACACCGAGCAGAAACATTATTTATGAATGATCACATCAAGAATTCTCAGTGCACATTATTGCAGTATGACATTGTGAGCATGTCAGGGTTATTTATTTTGTGTGTTGTTTCCCTATAAGTACAAGAAGTATATAAAAAAAAGGTATGGGCAATATAGGAACATGGATTTCAGCAGTGGTTAGTGGCCTATGAAAAGGCATGGTATAGGTCAGCCTGAAGTGTTGAAATATAGCTAGAGTGCTGTAGATTAGGCTGTAAATACACAGAAATAACCCTCAAGATACAAAGTGTACAGAGGAATTGTTGTCTTCTGCAACATTCCAGATATACAGTGCACGAGGATTTGAAGACGTGATTATGAAAGTGATGCTGAAGAGTCGATGCTGCTGTGTTAACAAATATTTCGGAACTCACTGATTTATCTGTTGCACGCTCAGGATTCCTGCCTTGGTAGCAGCAGCAGCAGCCTAATTATGGGGTGTTTTGATCCCATGTTTAAGCAAAGCTTCACTAGAAGGGAACCGTGAAGTAGCCAGGAGGCTGGCTTAGTAACTTCAGCACAAGGAAAAGTGCTGAGCTTTCCAGGAGATATATGAATGGACTAGGGGAGTCTTTTTAAAGGTTATGAAGTCCTTCTTTCTCCCTGTGTCTGAGAACTCCTATTGAAGTGAAAGGAACCTCTGTCCTATTCATTTCAAAGGGGGTTTTGTCAGGAAAAAGAGCTTGATCAAAGTAGCTACTAAGCATTCTTAGTGGCTAATGTTCAGAGTTAAATGTATCAGCTGTTCCAAACCATTTCTATTTCAAATTATTCAAAGCATTTAAGGGACTGTCTCCCTGCACATTTTCCTCTCTAAGGTCACCAAAACCGATCAGCCAAAACCTGAGATCTAGTATGAAATATCTTCTTGGGAGATTTACAACACTGAATGAAAATTAAAAGGTTGGAAATTAAGTTAAAATCTTGAGGCTAACAGCAATGGGCACTGCATAAAACTGAATAAAAAGGCAGCTATGAAAATAGCTTGTTCCCAAAATTATAGCAGGAAGGTAAAACGATGAAAGATTCTTGAAGCAGCAGGAAGCTTCTGATTTAGGAGTCCCATACCAAAAATATCTATGTCAAGAAATACATTTAAAAGGAAAATATGCCCTAAAGTCTGAAGATTCACAAAGGTATTGGCAGAGGTCACCAATTCTTTGAAGGAACCTGGTGCAGTTGTTTCCTCTTGTAATTCTGTCTTGGATTCTTAGTCAACAGGTGAATCTACTCTTGACTGTGATTGTGCTTTTTTATGGCACAATTTGACAAGTAAGTTAACAACGATACAATCATGCAACCAGATGGATTTGTCTTAGAATTACCCTCCATAAACCTGCACACTTTTATAACACACTGCTTTCATATCTGACACAGACTACATAAAAGAACTAGTTTGCCCAACAGATATCAATCTCTAAGGTTGTGAAAGCTTTCACTTAAGAAAGGTCTTTCCTCGGTGCTCGTAAAGACATTAAGTTTTACCTCGTAGGCTGAAGTTTGTTCTTCATGCTTACATGTTTATCTTCATCTCTGTCACACCGTGTTAGTATTTACACTGACTGTGTGCAGAGCAGCCAGTAAAGCCATTAGCCACCTTTAACAGCACAGCTCAGAAACACAGCGATCTAAGACTGGTTTTTAAAACAGGCAGGGATAGAATATGAAGCAAAACTGGTGCAATTTTGAAAAAAATGATGTTCAGAAGCAGCTCGACTGTTATACTCTTATCACCAAAGAGCACGTAATAAGGAAATTCATAGCTGAAATATGCTACATGTATTCGTATTACAGAAATCACCAGCTATTAAGATAAACCCACTGAAAATAGTAAGCATTAAAAAGACTGTCAAAAGATTTTCAACCTATTTGACATTGTTTGACACTGAAAAATGATCAACAATGAGGGAATCCGAGCTTCTTTTAACAGTTTGACGCACAGGAGTGAGCAGGAGATTGCAGCGCAGCAGTCATCGTCATCACAGGGCGTAATCGTGGAGATATTGCAGTGAAAGTGTGAAGTGTGATTAGTGAAATCAGCTGCTGCGGTCACTCACAGGTAGCGTGGCAGCCTGGCAGTGACAGCTTCGTCTGTGTCATCAAGTGCTCTACGTGATAGTGAACGGGAGGAGACGATGCCAAACAGCACGAGTACCAAACCCCTCCTGTACATGAGAAAACCTCAGCACGGATTTTTATTACTTCCCTTAAGACAAACATCTGCTCTTTCCCGGTCTCTCCCCTTCCCCCTCAGCACAACAAGCCCGAGGAAGCCCCCCTGCGTTAAGCAGAACCAGATGCTGGACGGAGCGGCGCGGCTGTTCTCTTCCTGGGCACTGCAGGGCAGCGCAGCTTGCCGTGCCGACGAGGCACGTGTTGTGTGGTTCAGGTAAATACTGCACTTCCACTTGTTTTACCACTCGGAGAAAGCAGCTTTACAACGCAGCGACTATGAAGAGGAAGCCAAGGGTTATGACAAGAACTAGGAAATTGCTGTTATAATTGGTGTGTAATAAGCACTGCATTTACACCACTTATTTTTTGAGAATAACAGTAGGCCTTAAAAAGAGAGACAATTACTCAACTGTCAGCTAGAAAAACCTAGCAGAAAAAAACTCGAAAACCAAGCTCACAGGTATATACAGATTTATCCCAGTGTCTCACAACTTGTAGGCAAATACAATATATTTATTTATTTATTTATTTAAACTAATGTGTTTTGAGGAGCTAGGAGTTCCCCAACTTGTGTCAAAATTTTTTAAAAAATCATAGCATTCTGCCACTCCCAAGGTACATCAATGATTTTGTTAGGCTTGCCAAAAAAAAAATAAATAGTAATAGAACATTAAAAACTTAAGATTTTTATTCTCACTTCAGAACCCAGAGTTGAAGGAACTTTCCTAAAGGGGAACCTGTAAAAATCTCTGCCCCAGTGGTACAGGGTGCACCCTTTCCTCTTAGAAGCTTCATCATTCTGCTGAATTTTAGCATTAGGGCAGAAGTGGGTCTGCTTTCTAAAAATAGATTTGCCGACATCTGTAAAAGTAAGAAACCAGGAAATAAATGAAGCATAAATACTCCAAAAGCCACATGCTTCCCCAAAACCGTCTCAACAATTGCTGTCTTGTGGAACAGTGGCCCAGATAACGTAATTTTTCATGCTGATAAAAATGGCAGCATTTTTCCTGCCTGCTCAGTTGCGAGGCTGATCTGCTTTGGTCCAGCCCGCTCTAGGAGAGGCATGTTGGAGGGCTGAGCCAGGCTTGGGCAATAAAAGGATGGCACAACACCCTTTAACCAGTGCTTTCAAAAGGCCACTTTGTGAGAACAATTTCCTCTTCCTCTGCTTTCGTCTATGATAGGCACCATGCAGAAATAACCCCGGTCTCCCGCTCCGCAGCAATTTCCCTGTCCCAAATCTCTGTTGTCAATTGTAGTGTGGAGGTGTTTCCCTTGGAGGCAAGCTGGCAGTTGTATCTGTCTGTAGCGCTCATCAGAGGGAAGTTTAATATCACTTGTATCAGAGTAGTGTCATTGTGTGTTCTGTACCTCCCCCACTTTTCTGGAAAATGGGACTGAAAGCAAGCAGAGAAAAACAAGCGTCTCTCAGCAGCATTGCTATGCACCAAGAGACAAAAATATTAGCTTGATTCCAAGAAAAGTGAAAAGGAAAATGAAAGTGTTACATTGACAATGAATAGTGCAGTGGCAGCTCTGTTTGTAGTATACTCTGCGCATAAATTCACGATAATGACAGAAAGTTTTTAGTCTTCTGTTGTAATATATGCAGTGAACAAACAGATTTAAAAGTGTTCAAGCTCCAAATTTCTGTAGTTCCTTGCAAAAAAGATTTTTAAACATAAAAAAAGACACTTTTATTATGCAGACCTAAGTCATCGCAAATCTGATTTCCTCCTCCAAGTCCCTGCTGATCGCCGTTTGTGACCGCTTTGGAAATACCTTGCTACATGTGCAATAACATCTAGATAAACACGCAGCCACTTCCAGGGAAGTCACACATCTATACCTGCTATCGCTTCCTCAGGAACAACACCTCGAGCTACACTCAACTGAGCAATTTATTTGTGTGTAAGTGACTAAGGATTCGGCATTGTTCCCTGAAAAGACGGGAGAAGGTTGCCTGTTAGCACATTCAGCTGCTTGCCTCTTGTTGTTTCTCGTTGGGAGAGCAGTGCACACCGAGTTTTGCTTGTCAAAAGCTGAGGAAAGGCCAGTCTGGAGTATCCACAAACTCTGCTGGGACAAAGCTGAGTAATCAAGAATGGGGAAGCTCGGTGCATATTACAGAAGCACTCTCACTGTATGAGTAATGCCAGTCACACCTCTGAGAGCTTTAGTTTCATGTTGAATTAAGCTTTAGAGGTATTTTCATACAGCTGAGTCTAATTACGTGTTCCTCTAAGACAGAACATGAAGCTGGATGTGTAGAGCCTCCTTGTGCCTGGTGCGCAGACAAAACCGTACCTGTCCACCAAACTAATCTGAGCTTCACTAAGGTAAAGAGGAAAATTGTTTTGTCATAAATACTTTAAATATCAATTTGGCTCTCTGGAGAGGTGCAGCAGGACTGTCTCACCCCATTGAGGAGGGTCAGGACTACCCAGGTCTCCTAAGGTAGCTCACGAGCAGGACACAGCTCAGTGCCTGTATTCGCTCTGGTGAGCCTGAGCAGCAGTGGCCATAGCAAGCATGGACCTATGGCAGGGATGTAACTGCAGCTGTACCTTTATTCCTGTTAGATAACCACAGACTGACAGGCGGCAACTTTTGACATGTCAGTGCTGCCTGATTTCAGCTGGGTGAGGATGCTGCTTCCACCAAAGCGCTGCTTCTACAGGGAAGAGGACACACAACTAGCTTGTGTCCTGCACAGCTCATTGGTGTAGATTTTCAGGGGTGATTATCACCATCTGCAGGTTATTCTACTTAGTCTATTAAGTAAATCATTCTTATTACCACTTCTCAGTGTGCACAGAAAATTGTTTGGTAGGAACAACTAGTACTATTTGTTTTCATAAAACAATTCTTCTGTTTTAAGGGAAATGGCAGTGATGCACACATGGCAACTAACCGCCCAGGAGAGTCAGTATATAGAGGACTGAGAGCAGCTGAAAATAGCTGAAAACAAGAAAAGAACAGAAGAGGTAAGTCATGTGGAACAACCTCTGAAGAGACAGGCATTATTCAACAGTACCAGGAAAACAGTTGCAACCGTTTCACTTTCTGTCTGTTAGCCGACAGTGAAGCACGGTGATGTGATGCAAGACAAACTTCTGGCTAGATTTGCTTTGTGCTACTGAAACTTTGAAGGCTTTAGTAACACTTGAGCAATACGCTGCACGCTTGATTATGGGAAAATCAAGGGATCTTGCAGGCATGATGGGAATTTCTAAGCCTGACATCTGAATAAGGCCCATGAAATCAAAAATTAGGACACCAAGGGTTTCTGGCTGATCCAGGTGTAGCAAAAATCTTGTAAGATGAAACAGTGACTGGTTCTGGTATTGTTTCAGTACGTACATGAATAGTGTCACTAGTTAATCACGCGTAGAAACAAAGGAGAATTACAGAAATGGAAATTACTGTGATTATATAAAATGAAAAAAAAAAAAAAAAAAAAAAAAAAAAAAAAAAAGGCTGTGCAATAGTTTATTTTTTAAATAGCCCAAATTGATCCATTTCATTTTTTCCCAAGTATTCAGCGGTTGTTTGCTCATGAATTTCGTTGGATAGCTGTTTCTTAATTATAAATGCAGACAATTTTGTGAGCTTTTCTTGAAGTCACAGGTTAATCCATTTGAGGAAAATGATCCATAAACCAAAGGAATTGCAAGGAGTTGTAATCCAATCCTGTACAGATTATTCAAAATACACTTTCAAACTAACAAGCTTCTTTTCATTTTAGTGAAATTACAATGCAACATGGACTATACTTTCGCTGATCAAAAAGAACAACAGGCCTAAGTTTGCTTTAAAAGCAAAATACAATGAAGCTAGAGATAACTTCTCCTCTTGCCTTAACTATTGAACGGTTTTCAATTACAGTAACTGCAATAAGAGATGTAAAGAAAGATTTATTTCTCGTTAGTGTATCCACTCTTCTGAGATGCTATCCAGCTGGGGTCTTGAACACTGGGCAGTATTCAAACTTTAAAGAATAATAATAAGTGCACACAAACTATTGTATAACTATAGCTGCCCATTAAAAAGCAAACAAACAAACAAAACAAAAAACAACAACACTTTCTAATCAATTTCTTGTTATTCTTAATACTAAGCCAATAAACCTTTTATGTAGTGGCTGTAGCAGGAAAAAGTGTATTGCTGTCAAAGAGGAAAAATAAATGCACAGATTTAGTCCAATAGCAATTTCTTTGTCTAAAGGTTTGGGATTATTGAATGTGTAGCCTTCTAAAGTTATGAGGACATTAGCAAGGTTTTCCTATAGGGTTTTGCCACTTTGAGGCAAAACATAATACCACTTTAGTGGCAAAATCAAGAAAAAATAATCTGGAAAATGAAAGAAAATGGTTGTTCTAAATTGCTACTAGCAGAAGAAGTGGCAACACAGCACCGTGTCAGTGGAAGAATAATACAGAAACAACAGTTTGACACTGAGGATCACTGAGGAGAAGGAGTACGAATATTTATTCTCAGAATGGGGGGTCATTGTTGAAATTACCGTATCTGTCATCATATTTGATCTGAGCTGCATTGTGCCTGTGACCTCGAGAACCAACAGTTCTGGGATGTGTCAGGAAAGTTGTCCTGCACTGGAGCACTTTTACAGGAGCTCTGCAAGCCCCTTCTCATTGATCTAAAATGGGTTTTCTGGTGTCTCACTTCTAGCAACATTAGCTGTGGCAGGAAACTTTGTATTTATGAACCTTATAAGAAAGAATATTGAATGGACGAATGTGCCAAATGGCTCAACTCTTCGGGCCATAAGTTATGTCCTTGGAAAAATATTTTAACATGTAATCAGGAGCAATGTGTCTCCACGAATATCCCAGCCAGCCTATCAGTGTTAACGAATCATCTGCAAGGCTTAGACACCAACTTCACAGTGTAATTCCCCTTTTCCTGTTAGTCACAAAGCTCGATATAGAAATAAGGTCAGCTAAGTCACAAGTATGCTCCAGGTGAGGGAGATGTTGCCAGCGATACCGGTGCAGTGGGACAGGATGAAATGCAGCTGGTGCCCAGGTTTCAGGAAAGCAGATAGCTGCAGTATGTTTAAGGCATAATCCTTCTGAGCTGCCTGGTGCCCTGCCAGGAACAGCTGCTGAGCGTCTACGTGGACCCACTGGTAGCCATGCCATACCGGCTCGGTGGCTTCTCTTTTACAAAAACAGGGCATAGAAAATAGCACTTTTGGTTCAAAATCACTGTTAGAGGTCCACCATGGAAGGAATTTCAGATGCAGCTGATGAAGTGTCCCAGAGAAGCTGGGAAATGCTTGTCACTGGAGATACTTAAAAACCCGTTGCATGAGGTTTTCAGCATGGTTAAAACATGTTTTTTAGTGTTCCTTACCAATACTGCATGGGACCATGTTGCAATGCTCAGGAAAAATTAGCTACCCAGGCTCTCAGAGCTTACCTGTGTTTTACACTGACACGTGGGAACAGAGGGGATTTGTCTATCAAAAGATCCTAAAAATGAAACCTGAAAAAATGGGGATACACTTCTTGTCTTGAAGACACAATACGTGTTAGCATTACACTGAAGGCTGAAGCTTCCCCTTTTCCTCCAGCCCCCTTATGCCTGCAACACCAAACCCAGCCACCTTACAATTACGATCTTCCTAGAGCAATAAATGAGAAACTTTTCAAAAATGGCTCGGGTTGAATTCTTGGCCATGCTGATCTTCAGGGATTGAGAACTGAGGCTCCTGGGTGTAAAACAGCTTGTACAGTCTGGCTCTGCGATGATTTTGCTACTTTTTTGTTCTTTAGCTTTTTGTTCTTTAGTTAGCAGGGCCACAACTAATACCAAATCAGTAAAAGACTGTAGTTACTTATTTTTCAGATGCTCTAAAAGCAGAAGTTTATTAACATGAAATCAACCATTAACTAATCAGCTAATAAGGTAGACCCTGAGTTTCCTGTTTTTTTTTTTTTTTTTTTTTTTTTTTTTTTCACTTGGCAAAAGTGAAAATTACAGTAAAAATCTTTTTCACGCAGATTTGGTATCAAACTTTCTGCTATTTCTGATGCACAGAATCTTAGTTTTCCTTCCCAAAGAGCTGATAATAAGGAACTTATCTAAGCTTGAACAGAATTTTACGATCTGTTTTTAACAAAAGGCTCCCCTAGGCCTTATTAGATTTTAACAGAATCGTTTTAGGAAAGCTATGCATAAGAACAAGATTTGAATGGAAAATACACATAAGAACCCAGACAAGCAAGTGATGTTAAAACAAAAAAACTGTGTAGGAATGATCAGGAAGGCCTCCACTGTCCATGAATGCTGGTCTATTTACCTGTTGTAAAAAGTAGTAGAAATGAGTTGAGTTTGCCCCAAACCAGGCCATCAGCCTTACGTTTGGTTACACACTACTTGCAGAGGCTGACTGTGAGAAGTGCAGTACTGCCGAAACAAAAAGAAAGCAAACCACCTTCTCCTCGAAGAAACAGCCATGAAGGGAGTTCTTATCATTGTTTTAAGCTTTCCCCTTTTGTTTTCTGTCTCACTCTGCCTCAGTTGTATCTGTGGTTAACATGTGGTGAGAACACGGCTAAGCAAGCAGCATTACACACTCCGCTCTCCAGGCTCTAGCCACCAGGGGGTTCTATGAACACAATTTTCCCTGGAGAGCAGGGGGCTTACATTGTCCTGCAGCCATATTTATATTAGTTGACTTGTTTAGCCTTGATTTTATTTATTTATTTATTTATTTTTGGGTGTGTGCTGCTGAGTTCCAGATTCATGAGTTTTACTCCAGCATCCTGACTCAAAAGGTTATTAACAAAGCAGTGCCCTCACGGCACCTGGAGCATGTTCTAAAAACATGCTAAGCTGTGATGTTTCTATTGTACACAGCTTTCTTTTCCTGACGGCACCTGTTTAGTGAAATGTTCTGTGCTTCTCTGATTACCAATTTGAAAGGGAACAGACTCAACATACAACGAGACACCACAGAAATAAAGCCGAGCTCTTTGTGCATTGCTGGGATTACTAATTTTCAATGAACAGCTCCTCAGGTGTTCATTCCACTGCAGGCAAAGGCTCTGTCATGCTTAACCAGCACTCTGACACTGCTTTTGTACTTCTCCAGCTCAGAAGGAGAGTGGAGCTGTTGTCTACCACACCATCAGATCTGATGATACTGTTTCCAGTGGATCATGCTGTGTTTTGAGGCACTGTGGGCCCCTTGGATTTTAAAGCACTGCACAAAACATCATCTGGGCATCACAGAATCCATTCTTTATAATTGCTTAGGACCCAGTGAAAACACCAGATCCACGGTTGTACAAAACAGCTGGCATTTCCTGACTTCATGCCCTCCCAATATTTGTCTCTGTGAAACTCTTTTAAACACACCCTTAATCCATTAGAAAATAAACTTGTAGAATGAATTTCCACTCTGCCATTTGTGCACTGTGCACGGAGGAGCCATAGCCTCGGATGGATGCAACCAAGCCCTGTTTCTGCCTGCTGTCTGATTTACAATCTGAACGCCACAACCTCAGTTCCCGTACTTCCTTGCAGTAAAATTTCACAAGTGCTCTCTTCCGAGATAGATATTTTTAGAAATGTCTTTGTTTGCATTATCTACTTGATGCATTTATTTCTGAAATGGTAATTTCAGATAAATTCCTGTTATCCTGGACAGACTGGCCCTGTCAATAAAAGGAGTCATTTGGTGACAGTTTAAAAGATTCAGATATTTTCACAGGGACAGGAGCAAGCAACGTTAAAAAATAATCTTCAAGAAAGGTCAATTTGCTGTCAGCAGCAACAAAGCACAGGATGTGGGGATACTGAGAGTGCTCCTCTCCCTTTAGGTGTGGTTGGTGGCAGGCAGCCAAGCTGGCATCACCACACCCAGTGCAGATTTTTGTTACCAAACACTTCCAAAACAACAAATTTTAAACGTAATTTAGAAATAGACTTGACAAAACATGTCTAATTTCAGGAATGTCCAGCAGTCCGTTTATGTATGTTGCTAACAACATCTGGTTGCATTTTACTCCACTAAATTACCTCTCTCTCTGTTTTGCTCCTGAAGTTTGCCTTCGCTGGATGTGCGAGGACTTGTCTGAGCGTTGTTCTCACCTTTCCCTGGTGGCTCTGATGACTTCACTGCTGCTGCAGCTCGACAGCCGGCGCCTCGGTGCACTGGCAGGTGATGTAGTGATGTGTAGCATGATATGGCAAAAAAAGGCAGAGAGGACTTGAATTTGCTAAGTTTGAAACAGCAGAGAATAGGCCATGTTACCAGCAACTCGTGTTTTTCAGCACTTAATTGCATGCTAAAAGTATTATTCCTGCCTGAATCATACAAACTAAACTGGTGTATTTTGGAGATAACAACTGTGCCTGTACCTTGGGTACAGGACTTGGAATTTCCAGTCCTCTGGTTTTGTTTTGAGAAGTTTTCAATATAAATCTCAAATATATAAATCGTCTCAAGTCTTCTAACATGCAAATTTCTAGAATATATTAAAAATTAATCACCTTAAGCAAGTGCTTAATTTAAGCATGACATGTGATTCGCTGAACAGACATGACTAAGCCAACATATAGTTCGTTCTGTGGGACCAAAATTTGTACCAGTGTGATTCATCAATGAGTAAGAATGATGCTATCTGGAGTTTTAATCTAAGTGCAGATTTGAATAATGACCTGGATTTTTTTGGAGGAGCAGCTAGCTAAGCAAGAAAGGGAAAAGAAAAAAAAACACTATAAAGAATTCTGTGGTTGATATCACCACCTATTTTCAGCTATATGAGTCAGTGAGCTATCACATGGATTTGCACAGAAATATCAAAGCAAATCCCACTTCAAACCCACACCACTTCCCAATATATACCCTCACTCATCGATTGCAACAAACTGAGTTAACGTATGTTTGTCTGAAATAAAAGCAAGGAAGAGATCAGAACTACAGCAACAATTAACTACCTTAAAACAAAGACTTGTTTTGTGAAACTCCTAGGCTAACTTGTAGCTGAACTGAGAAAAAATATGCACTCAACAAATTACATTTGCTGAGATCAATAAGCAGAGTCTTTACAATGTGTGCAGAGATCGAGGGAGGCTGTTTTTTGGCAAAATTGGAAAAAAAAAAATTTCTAAAAAGACATAGGTAGTAACTTGTCCAAATATTCTTTAATAATAATGATTGAAAGAGCTACAGCTGTCATGGAAGAACCGAAAGCCAAGATATTTCTTCAATATTATAAACGTCCTGGGATATAAATATGAGGTACCTCTGGATACAGGAGAGAAGCATCATTTGTAATGGTTTATATTTTGAAACATAAAGCCAATTACTGTGGTAGAGGAAAACATAACTCATGCTGTTATAGAACACTTCTGCTAAATCATGTCCTCGTAGAAGCAGCTTTGACAGACTGTCATTTTTCCAGACTATTCTGTAACGTACAGTGAGTTGCTGCTAGATGTGAAGCCCTCTGAAAATTAAAAGAAAGATTTAGGCAATATTTTTAATGCTATAATCAGAACTGCAACATTTACAAACAGGAAGATGAAGAACCACTGTGTATGGTAACTTTATTTCTTTTGCTGGCAAAAAATCCTGTGGATTTTTCAGTCCTACCATCGTCAGGCATCCTACCTTTCCCTTACAGTTTAAAAACTCCCTAAAGATGATTAGGATTTCCCACTACACAAACTATAGTAACAGTACTGCAGGGGCACACTCCTGAACAAAGATTTCAGGTTTCTGCCTCTGTATCAGGACTCTGAATACAAAAGTCAATCACCAGTCGGGTGATCACCTTGATTACGTGCACTACTGCACAAATCCTATGTCTCTACATCGCATGCCTTCCCTATAGCCTTATATTGTGTCCTAACGGGTTTCTGTGTTAATGCTTTTCAGTCTGACATCTAGTGTCATATCCTAGGAACTATACCAGTTCCTAACAAAAAAGGTGGGCTAACGAAATTGCATCTCATAAATTGGAAAGCGCTGACAACTGCCTGACGTTAGGTGACCACAAGCTCCAGGTATGGTACAAATGACTTTGAGGTATCTAGGGGAGAAACAGATCCATACTGGTGCTATTCCACCACACACTGCTGAGACTGCTGCTGAAATACTGCCTGTGACTGCTTACCTGGGCACCACGTGGCAGCCCAGTGAACAAGTGAGCAACCAAAGTGCTCAGCAGGAAGAAAAAGCAGGTCAGTGACAGTGGAGGAAGAAATTCTTGTCCAAATGAAGCAGCTTTTGTACAACGCCATTGCAGCTTTCATGGACTGTGCAAATCCAGTAAGTCCTGGCTCAGAAGTAGAAGCAGGTAACGGCAGCAAGGGTCTTGGCTGAGGTGCTTGGGAGCAGGAATAAATTTAGCTCTGTTTACTTTGGAGAGGGGACTGTAGTTATACCATGTTTCTTTAGGAGATGTTCTAGGAGAAAATGTAAAGAAAAACTTCTCTAATGTCACTGAAAAATTGAACAGATGCAGTTGTCTACAGGGATTAAATTAGAGTTTATTCAGATTTCAGACAAAAAGATAATGTGAAACCAGTTAAAAGCAGCTATTTCTGAGAACGACAGAGAAGAGTATCTTAGGCTGTTTGTTTACTTGAAAATAATGGGCTCTGATACGTTTTTGCAGCAGTAACATCAGTGGTTTTGAAAGAAAACTTGTTTTCTAGCTTGCTTTTTTTTCTGAGAAATCTGAACTTCAAGACTTCTTACTCGTTCTCTGGATCCAGAAACAAGCAGAAGAGAATGCTGACTTCTGGTCAGGAGGCATCTTTTTAGGGAGCCTGCTTTTTAGGGAGCTAAAAGAAACAAATGCCATTTACCATCTATCCTACCATCCCAGCCTTTAATGACCACCCCAGGAGAACGTCACTGCTGCATGCTGGTTGCTCCAAACCTGCAGGAGGCAGAGGTTCCCGTTTATACACCCGCAGCAGCTGCTGGTATTTACATTGCCCTGTGACTGCTCCCACCAACACACCCCAGAAGTGTGAGCAGCTCAAGCACGAGGCTCTGTTGCCACCCCTTTAATTACCAGTCACCGATCCTTTCAGAAAACAGGCTGAGTACAGGCAGAGGAAACAGCTGGTGGCTGCAGGACTATGGGCAATGGCCGGACAGCTGCCGGCTCTGCTGCTGCTGGCTGCCTCGCAGAATGGAGCATTTACTCTTCTAAAAGTCCTTCCCACCTCCAGGATGTCTGTCTTCTGGAAGCTTTTTAGGATCAAAATCAACGAACCCATTACACTTTCATGTGGTGAATAAACGTGTTTGCATTGCTGCGGGTTCAGTTAACTTTGCAATGCACTTCCTTCACTCATCCTGTTTAATCCATTATCTTATTAGATATTTAAGCCACCCTTGTAACACAGCTAATAAGAGAATGGCAACGTCTTCATGTTGAAACTAATTAATAGAAGTACATCATTCACATCCTTTGGCTAGGTTTAAACTTCTTGCTTAACAAAGTACAAGCAATCATCAGAATACACGCATAGCTGCTTTCAGGCTTGTTAGAAGCTTTGCCTCTTTTGTGTTTATGTATTGCCTCACACGAAATGATCACTGCGAAGTAAAACCACTCAGGCCTCTGTTCCAGAAGACCACTGCGCATTTGCTGTCAGACACCATGCATCAGCTCACAGATTTGTCTGCCCAACCTTCAGCACACAGAGAAGATTTTCCAAGACCGAGGCCCCAGTGATGTGATGGGATGAGATGGGATGCGATGTGCTTGTGCACCCTCTGCCAGGTGGGATCGTCCGAGAGCTGCTCTGCTGGGAACCAGGAGCAGCAAAGAGAGCTGCGGCGGGGGGACAGGCGTGATAACATCTTGCCGTACACATGCCGTAATTAATTTTAATTTCCTTAATTAAGTATTTAGTCTTTGGGGAGGGAATATGTAGAAGTTGCTTCATAAACTGACAATGGGCGATTGTTCTCCGTTCCTTATCCTGGAGGCACGCAGGATAATGAGAGCTCTATAAATATGCGGACAGATTGATTTGATGGAGCAGACAGAAGTCCCCCGGCACAGGCTGCTCGGTGCTTTCAGAGTAACGGAGACCTCCCCGCTCTGCCCGGGCACGCCACCGCTCCCCCATTTTGCAAGAAGTTAAACAGACTGGGTCTGAATGCAGTTACTGGGGGACAAGCAGGACGAGACCGAAATGAAATAAATACAGAAGAAAATGGACAAATGCTGCTGAAGTGCCACTGTCTGTTGTGGGCAAGGGCAGTGCAGTTCAAAATCAAAATTGGAGACATTGGTAATTCCAGATTCAAGGGGAGAATTTAACAACTTTATATCCACAATTCATTTTCCCTGCATGTGTGGAAGAAATCTTTGACTCCAACAGCCATCCAGTGTAACGGCACGTACCTGTGCCAGGTCAAGAGGTGATTCTCCGACAACGGCAGCTGGTTTGATTTCTCTGACTTCTTGGTTCAATGCGTGGAGGCTTCATTTCAGCACTGAATCTTCTCCACAAAGGCAAATTTTGAAGAGTTATGGCTTGGGTAGTTAAAGAAGTGGTTACTGATTTAACCTCTGCCAGGAAAGTCATCCCTCCATCAAGCATTAAATCAACAGACAACAGAAGTTGGGGAAATGATGTTATTAAAATTCTAGCATCAGAATTCCCAATACTTTCCCCCAACACGCATAAAAAATAAAATGATATAAATATAAAAGAAAGCCAACAGATGCAGTGTCATATGGACTTGCTTAATGGCAATGCTTAGCCTTTCAAAAAAAGATTTACATCTACATTCACTACTAAAACTTGACATTTGCATTGAATAATTCATAATTTGTTGTTTGCTGCGCTTTGCTGCCTTTCTTATGTGCATGGCTCTAAGTAACATCATCTCTGCTGTTAGGGGAGGAGATCAATCCTTACACACGCAGATATTTTTGTTGTTGCTCTGTAAAGTGTAAATATGTATTTGTCTGAACCGATGTTAACATTTCCTCAGCAAGAGCTCTGCCCGTGATGGAAAGGCTCTGCACAGACTGAATTCACTGCATTGCTGCACTTTCAGCGAATTCTCCCCCAACTCTTCCAAGTATTTTAACAATAATCACATGGAGCTTGGACGTGGTTCTGTGCCCACGCGTGTCGTGTTTCAGAGGAACTCCTGCCACCTGCCTCCTCCTACAGCTGCAGACGGGATCGCTGCCAGGGCTCCTGCACCAAGCTACGGAGACTTTCACCCTTCTACAGCCCGTCACCTCTCTGGCCTGAGCACGGAAAGGAAAGGTGTTTGAAAGGCATTTGAAGTTACGCCTGGATTCAGGATCCGCACAGAAAAAGTGGGTGCCAAAGCAGGATCTAACATGCAGTTTGAGTACAATTTATTGCCATGTTGTTTCTAAGAGGAGCCTTGCAGATTGTAGGGTTGCAAACACCACACTTGCACTGTCATCTCCTAAAGCTTGTACATTTTAAAACCTACTTTTCATTCTAAATCTTTAGGGTCTATTTCAACTATTCCTTCATAACCAAGTTAGGAGCTTTAAAGGTTTGGGTAGCATTGTTCTTTTCCTGACACTTCATCTGTGATTCTAAGAGAAGCAAACAGGGTGCTTTGGCTCACCGGCTGGCTCTCCTCCTCGTCTGTTGCTTCTTTCCTGTTGCTCAGGGAAAAGTTTCTGAGTTTATTAACTCAGACTAATTGATCAAACAGCGCAACACCAGCAGACCCACTACCACAGCGCATGCTGTAGTGTCTAAAAGCTATCCTGCTTCTCTTCGGGTGAGTTCCTAGGAGTAAATTCCTTTCTAAAACTTGCAGAGCAGCCTGGGGCAGTCCCTGCAGTTTTGCCCCCTCCACCCCCCTTTTTATTTTAATTAACTAATTAACTTTTCCTCACCAGTGAGCACGTTTGCCTTCCACTGCTGGGGACAGAGCCCTGTTCTGTGTCCTGATCTGAAGACTTGAAGGCTTCACCTGGTGAGCCAATAGCCACACACTCAAAGTGTGAGCATCTAATGAGAAGTCTTTAATTGGGCCTTTTTTTTTTTTTTTTTTTTTTAAATTAATTTAATTTGTACTGCTTTTAGTTCAACTTCCAAGGCATGCAAGGACTCCAACACCTGGTGCATAAGGGCCCCAAACCTTCGTTATGTTTTAAAATGCAAACTAACAGGAAGGTTATTGTGATGTTATCTGAAATCCCAAATGCCTCAGTTTTCCTGATTTTATTAACTTTGTGGTAATGAATTTCTGAATACCTGAGTAAGAAGGAGCAGGCTAGAGATGACTGAGTGCTGTCAGCAACTGAAACCACGAACACCTGTTCTGGGGCGGCATCAACTGTAATGGTGTAAGCGAGTTACTGCCAAGATTTCTTTCCAAGGACTTTTAACTATGGTTCATTACGTTGTTTTTTTTTTTTTTTTTCCTCACCAGGTCTGCTGCTTGAATCCCCCCCAAACATCTACGCTTGTCACCTGCGCAGCAGCTTGTTTGGTTTTGCAGTGACTGGAGGTCTGCCTTACTCTGGGCTGAAACACAAAAAAGCTCTTGGAGACATTTTGCAAAACCAGTAGCTGTTTTGGGGTTTGCAATACCCCCCCCCCCCCCCCCTTATTTTTTATTTTTTTTCTCATCAGTGAATATAATGATTCGTGTTTATTTTCTCCTTTGGGCAACCTTCCTTCTCTCTCATGTGGACAAGGATTTTGTTCGAACCTCGTTGTCCCCAGGTCTTCTTCCCTTCTCCCCAGGTGCTTCCCCTCCACAGTCCCAAGGCAAGAAAATCCCATTACAAATCCCACAGGCAATGGAGCAGGCAGACCACTCGGGTACCTGTTTTTGAACACTGCAGTGACACCTTTGTGCCCAAGCAAAGTCATTTCACTACACGGGGTTGGGTTTTTGAGTCTTGTTGGCCTGAAACTGCAAGGATGTACAAGACTAAATAATGGAACTACCGATTCTCCTTTTGGCCACAATTAAACAAAATAGAGAAAGTTTTACTTCTATTTTTCAGGGGTAAATATTTCCTTTTTTTTTTTTTTTTTTTTTTTTTTTTTTTCTTCAGAAACAGAGAGGAGCTTCCACAACTGACTACAGGTAACGGCAAACCCTAATACCTGTTATTTTTATGACTTTTTTATTTTTATTTTTTTCCCAAGGAAAAATTCAGAGTGAACAGCAGCAAATTATTTTCCTGGAACTGAAAAAAGTGGTATTTCTCCAGGAGTTACGAATCACCTCTCTTTCAAGAAAGCCTAAAATGATGGTGACTTGGTGAGATGGGATCTTCTGGGGTAAGATTAAACAGACTTTGCTGCACCTTTCTATCCCAGATCATGCACAGACAGATGTGAATGTTTGCATACTGTAGGTAAGTGTGAAGCAGGCATAATTGGTGTACATTATTTATTTATTTATTTATTTATTTTGAGCTGGAAGCGTTTATTTTTCCACGTTTTTAGGATATTGTTTCTTTGTAGCCTTAATTTTGGTACCTGCCATTTCCTTAGGGCAAGAACACTTATTTTTCTTTGCTGCCTCTCCTGGTTACCGGGGTTAAGCAGCAGCCAGCGGGCACTGACAGCACGGGAGGACCTACCTGCACCGCTTCTGCCCCGCCGCACCTCAACGCGCAGGTGGCTGTAGGGGAGCCCTCCCTCTCCCCACTGACTTTACCCCCAGGAAGTAGACGAAAACCTTTCCCCTTTTCCATGGCTTTTCTAGAATCGAACTTTCCAGAAAGCACTCTTGTATTTTTTTTTTTCTGTTCTGAATGCAAACCCCTTATCTCCTGTTGCAATAGCATTCAATTACAGGCAAATTCTTATCTCACAGCAGGTAAAAGTGTGAGAGATGGAATCTCTCCAGAACGTGCTTTGTGGAGGCTGTTTGGAGCCAAATCAACTCTCTGATTTTTTAAAGCCACAACAAGAATTTCTTTTGAGCATCCACAGCCACCACAGAAACATCAAACCCTGGCAGGGAGCGAAGTGAGCTAGGGAGGCCCAACTTGTTCCCAAGTGCAAAGCGAATGCGATGCGTTGCTGTTCCACTTCAGGGTGGTTTCCTCCACTCTGCCCACCTGCACGCAGCGCTGCGCGAGGCTGGCGGGACCTTTTGGGGACGTGTGCTCATGCAGCGTGTTGCAGCAGCACGCTACAGGTTGCCAACAAACGGCTCCTGCTGACTCTGCACGAGCAGGACCACACGAAGCACACAAGTGACGGCTCCCCCCTCTGTGGCTGTTCACCTCCTGTCCCCGGCTGTGCAGTGTGTGCTTGGAGGAACCGCAGCAGCCGGCCGTGGGCAGCCACAGAAGGCTTTTTTGGAAGCCTGGATGTGTTCTTCTGGAGCTCGTCTGCCCTAGGTTCGAATCGAGCTTGCAGCGGATTTTGAGCTAAATTATCTGTTTGCGTGGCTTGGGTTGTGTAAATTTGCACCAAGCTGAAAGCAGCAGGGAGTTAACAGTGACACTTCCAGGCACCTCTGGCACGTGGACGCGGCGTTGCTCAGTTGGTGCCGGTACAAAGAGCAGAGCCAGGGAGCTGGAGGCCGTGCTACGGGGCGCTGGCGTTGGAGGTGGATCAGAGCGTGCTGGTTTCATGAGCAGTTTCCCCAGCCGTCAGCTTCCTCGACTTACCTGCCAGAGGCTGCCCAGGATGCCACTGCATTCGTGGAGGACACAAACTAAGGACAGGTAACCGGATTTTAGCCTTAACTGTGAATTCTCTTGGCTTTCGCACATTTCAATCAACTTTGACCTTGTTGTTTGCTATTTAATTTGATAGCGGTGCCCGTGGCCCCGTTTAAGACTGGGCACCCCGTTGTGCTAGGCAGCTTACAAATACACAGGAGACATAGTCCCTGCCCCGAAGAGAACATCACAGGAACTTTTTTTTCTGGTGATTTAATCATAATATTGACAACTTTATCAAAAATTACAAAACTGATAATAAAAAAATTTCTAATTCTTAGTAAGACTAGAATGGGTTTTTTTAAAAAATAGAAAAGCACTTTTAATGCTACTGCTCTTCTGGAATTCTCACATTACAACCCTACATAGCAAAATACAAACTGTAGCTAAGAAAGGTAGCAGTCCTAAGGTAATTCAGTCCACCACGAGCCCTCTAACAACTCTATACCAGCAAATTCAGGGACTCCAAAAGGATATCACATTACTTAGAAACCTGATTTAGGAAACACCTTGAAGTTCTTTCTAACCCCTAAAACCTTAGACTGTGAGTATGATAGACCTGGGACATCAGAGGTGGGTTGTTTTTTTTTTTTCTTTTTTCTTTTTTCTTTCCTCCGTGGATAATGTTTTTGCAGCTGATACCAGCAAAACGTTCTCTTTAAGAAGTGAAAATATGAAGAAAATCCATCGGAATAAATGAAAATATTTTTATGGTGTTCACAAAATGCACCATAATAGAAAGAGGAATATTTTCTTTAATTTGAATGTCATCCGAATGACTCAACCACATTGTCACCCACTTAGCAAAAGAAAGCATAATAAATAAATAAATAAATAGACAAGAATATGCAACACTTTACATCCTCAAAGAACCACGTAGTGCCCTAAGCTACCGAGATCCTGATCGACTTTGTGGGCTCGCTGTGCTCAGCCAGTTCAGCTCGGGGTGATTGCGCCATGTTAATGACAAAGAAAAGCGTTGTTCCACTTTCCACAATGGAGTATTTTTTTTCCACCTTTTAAATATAGGAATTCTCTCTTAAATTAGAAAGTAGGCAAAAAGTATTTTTTTTTTAAATTTTCATTTTAAGTCTTCTATTAGAAAAAATATAGATTTATTAAACAAAAAATAATAAGGTAGAAAGAAGGGTTGGGCCTCCATCAAAAAAGTATATTATGCTTTAATGCAAAGAGAAAGAAATGGCTCTAAGGGCAAAATTCAAGTATGAGTGACCAGTTTTTTAATCGTAAAGTAGGTGCAACATTTTTTAAAATGTTACAGCACTGCATGACCTGTAATGCTCACAATATTTACATTAACTGCTTACATGAAACCATAAAAACTCTAAAAGAGAAAAAAAAAATTGTATGGACTGAAACAAACTACTCCTAGCACCCACATCAATGCCATTATTAACCAATGAAACCAAGTGCACAAAAATACTTTACATAGCCTACTGATGTAAAGTATACATCGGTGAGAAAGTACAAACCTAATTCGGTAAAATGCCAAAAGAAGGGTTGGTCGGTACAAACTCCGCTCCGGGACAGAAAGCAAAGGGGGAAGTAACCTGACCTAGCCAGGCGCACACGCACGCACCCTCGCACGCACCCCCGTGTCTCTGGTTAAACGCACAGGTGTGGACAAACAGCGGAGAAGCAGGCGGGCGTGGAGCAGGGACAACATCGACGCTTCCAACAGAACAAACACGGCAACTCGTGACAGAAAGATGCCAGCTACGCTACACAAAAGAATCACTCCACATGAGTCTGCGTGTAGGACCGTGGCGTTGCACACACGACAAATGAACCTACCCCGCGGAAGGAAGGAAGGAAGGGCTGCTGCCTCCAGGCCCCTGTAGCCAGTGTAGCTATTGCGATCCCTCGGGCTGGGGAAGGACTGGGAGCTGCTCTGCGGGACGTGAGGAAGCGCGGAGCCCGGAGGGAGCGCTTTGTGCCCCGGCACGCCAGAGCCCAGGCTGGGGCAGCCTGCGGGCCCGCGGTCCTCGGGGGCAGCCAGGCCTCGGTCATGGCACTCTGCGGAGACGTGGGGGGCTCGGGCAGAGGGGCGGCCGTGCTCCCGGCACTGCCACCGGCTTCACGGGGCGCCGAGCGCTGCCAGTCCATGGCTCGGGAGTGAGATTCGGGAGCTCAGGGAGAAAGGCGACCTGAGGTAGGTGGCGGGCCCGGGCGAGGAGGAGGGGGGTTAAGGACTCCACCCGGGGACCGGGAATGGTGAATTATTTCGGGAAGCCTCGAGGACAGAGGATGCCATGGCTTCCATCACCATCAGCCGCCATCCACGTTGAAAAACAAAAAGAAAAAAAAAAAACAACTAAAAATGGAAATAATGTTGTGCTACACTTCTGTTCGTTAATTTTATAATGGCTCATAGCTTTAGACTTTTAAATCTGTAGTGTATTAATTTTTTCTACATATGTTTCACATTTCTCACTTAATATAACATAAATAATTTGGTTAATAGATTTAACCTGCACATTTCAGCCACATTAATATATATAAGAATCTGTTAATGGTATAAATAATTCTTTTTAAATAAAATAAATCTGATATGTTACATAATACTGATAAAAATTACTGTTGCTAATAGTTTTGTAAGCCACCCTTGATTTTTTGTTTCAATACTGTGAGATGGATCTGGAATCACTTTTCTGAACGCTGCGGAGCGTGCCCTGTCGTTCTACTGCAAAACCAAACCGCACTCGGCACTGATCACATCATTAAGCAGGGCCTCTGCCCCATCAAAATTAAACGCGATGGTTAATGACGTTAGATAATTTAAGCTAATAAATCTAGGGGTTTTGAGGGGTCAGAGTTACTGGGGACAGAAACTGTTTTAGTTTATCAGGTGGCTATGAAACTTTAACTACAGAAATGGCTGACTAAAGTAGTTCATCTACTTTTTTTTTTTTTCTTTTTAATAAAATCTACAGCACTCTACTTTAAAAGTTAAGTAAATAAAAACGCAACCGATGGTTGCAGCCTTTGAGTTATTAATTAGAGCTGTGATCCCACGTCCCGTTAGGAATCTGCAAGGTTGCACTCTCCTACAGAGACCTGAATGGAGTACAGTACTTCCAGGCAAGGTTCATTCCAAACAGACAGTATAAATGAACACTCAGTGGCGTGAAGTGTATGTCATAATTAAGGTATTACATAATCATGCCTTCTCTCTGCTGTTAAATACAAAAACAGCATCTTTTACATTATCATATAAAAGCATTTAGGCTGTATTTTTATTTATCACTTTACACTGGTAGTCTCTTGTATGTGTACTCAATAGAAACCAAAGAATTTTGTACACTATTTTTTTTTGTACAATAAAAGATAAAGTGTGCATTAGGTACGCTTGTACATGACAATATTGTACAATATTTACATTTCAGATATCACCATGAAATTCTGTATTATCTATATACACAATGAAAATTTCTCAGAAACATTTGGACTATTTCTTATAATCACAATTTTAGTATTATAGAAAAAAAAAATCAGTAATCATCTGACATTGTTACTGTAACCTTTCAAGAGCTTTGATTGGTTTATCCAGCAACTGCTATCCCTCCTACTCATCAAAAATATTGTACCACTACTCCACGTAGCACCCTGCGGTGGTGTCTATCTGTCTTCATATAAATATTGATATAACCACGTCTATACCAATACCTACATATAGACTTATGTGCACGTTCGTTTTGATAAGTACTGGACCAGTAACAAAGACATTCAATGTTATCTAGAGATCTTCCTCCTCTTGGGTTTTGGAGGCTTCACTTGTCTGTCTCCCTGTGGGATTTGGTGGACCTAAAAACAAGTATATTCACAAGTTAGCAAAGGACATTGGTCAAAGCACCCGGCCACAAATCAACGAGTTACGGGATTGCTTGGGATGCTGCTAGGCTGCCCCACAAAACTGTTCTCAGGATTTCCCATTTACACAGCCTGAAGGAAAGGGGAGCTGGAGAGCTGTCCAACACTGCAGAACGGCACCGACTGCCTAACGAGGAGCTCAGCCCCAAGCAGCAATTATGCCCAATTCCACGAAACAAATCTGTATGAAGCATTTTGACATTAGTGATAAAGGAGCAAGTATACGGTGAGGAAACACTGCTAAGGCGGAAAAAGATCAGAGGAGCCGAATTCAGGTCTGTGGCAGCCTCATTAAGGACAAGCTGCGATTAGCAAGCTCTGCTTCCAGCTCGGTGTTAAAGCAACGTTTTGAATTTGGGTTTGGTGCTAGGTGGCTCTGAGCACAGGAGTTTCCCAGCGCGAGCGGCAGGCGAGGTGTGCCGGGCACGGAGTGCCACCACCATCTGTCGGCAGCCGGCAGCTCAGCGCCGCTCCCGGCCCCAGCAGCGCAGCCACAAAGCCCGCAGCACCGTGCTGCATCACTGCCCGGGCTCCTTCTTGAATTCCTGCAGCCCGCTAACGTTTCCTACTTATTTATTGGCTCCTTCCAGCAGAAATGATGATTTAAGCTCGTTAGCGTGCTTGCACATGCTTTTCATTTAAAGATGTAGCTGATGACTGAACAGCAGCAGCTGAAAAAACAGCGAGCCGCTAAAAAGGGAAGTGCTGATTCCCTGCGACTACTTCTAAGAATCGTAATTTTCATGGAAAGAAACCCTGATTATGAATTTTGGGCCCAGATAATTACAATATAAATCAAGGTGATGTACTGACACACGGGCTGGTAGAGCAGCTTGCCCGTGTTACAAAACTACAAGATGAGCAAGTCCTGTTAGAGCAGTTTCCCCTGAGCCACTCTCTATCTGAGTTAAAATAGAATCGCAGCGAGGTTTGAGCACCTCTGTGTTTGTGCAGGAGGGAATGGGGCTGGCACCAGCAGCAGGGGCCGGCCCAGAGGTCTAAGGGGTGCTGCAAGCGGCACAGAAGATGTGTGTGCCCTGCACATCCCGTGGGCACTTGCGACAGTCAGGTCCTGCTGTCCTTTGCCTTCCCATCAAGAGGAAGACGTTTCAAATCAAAACTCCATCTTATTTAATCAATTCACAACTTTAAGCAAAAGATTTGGGTTTGTTATTACTTATGGCAACTGAGTAACTTATTTAGGGTGTCTTGGTGACTCTGAAACCAGCTTTGAGCCTGGAGATCTGTTCAGATTTCCTTTTCTGTGCTCCAGCAGCTCCCCTAAGTCGTGCTCATCCCTCTAAACATGTGTGTGCACCCGCATCTTTAGGACCGGGCATCGCATATCAGGAGAAAAAGATTTACGTAGTCAAGTGCTTCATAATTAATAATTGGCAGAATTACCAGTGATAAGATACGGGAGGTTGTATGCACAGTGACACACTTGTTTGCATGTTATAAAGGAATTACAGACGTAAATGCGAAGATAAGTACATTATATAAAGAGATGTTACATTAGAAAGATCCTGGGCTGCCATAGCAGTGCTCTTTTAAAAATATTTACACTGTTACACTCGCTACCAGGAACACCCTTCTTAACTTACCTTTCAGGACAGTACCTATCATGTCACCTGAGGAAAACTTTATTCAAAGGGTTTGATACTCAAACAAATGATGCTTTTAAAGGTGGTTTCAACAAATGAGCCTGATTTTGTGTCCCCAGCCAGAGAAAACCCCTGGAATGTGAGCCGGACTGGGACTGATCAAGATAATATCAGGCTGCATGTGTAAAGTATGCCCAGGTCTTTTAAAAATACATATAATTGGCAATGCAGCTAAAATGATGCATCTTTTCCCCATTTTTCAGAATAACTAGACATTTGCAAACAGTTTGTCAGGCAAGAAAAATATCGAAAATTCCCCATTACTTAAGAAAACACAAACGAAAGTTACGGAAAGGAACCCAAATCGACAATCCCAGCCTCCGACTGACACACATGCACAAACAGAGAGAACAAAGAAATTATTGCTGATGTGAAAAGAAACTTACATTCCCAGACATTTTGTCTAGTTCACTCATGGCCTCGTGTATAGCAGCTTCTAAATGGTTATTTAGCTTTCCACTTCTAGGAAGAAGAAATTAATGTTGTCAGTAACTTAGCAGCAGAAAAACACAATTAATAACAAATGCATTAATTCATCAGACACATTTGAGCATCCGGAGAGCCTCCCGGGTTGTTACAGCACTGGGCCTGTCCTTCAAGGAAGGAGACGCTTCCTAAATAAATCTTCCCGTTTAGCAAAGGGAGAAGGATCGCTGCGTCAGCTGGGATGGAGCACTGCAGGACCTGTCCTGCTACGCAGAGCTGTGCTCGCTTACCGAAGGCTTTGAGCGAGTTTGTTCAAACGGGTAAAGGAATTTTAGAATGATGTATCCTGATTAGGTTTAAACCAACCAGAGAAATTATAAAATAATCTGAAATACAGATTCTGATACAAAGCTGGCCATGTCCACGTGGGTTTCTGAATCAACTGAGCTCGGCTGCTCACAAAACCAAGTTTAAGTGATGCAACCCGGACCAGCGACGATGCCCTGAGATATTATAAATGCCAAGCAGGATATTGCTTAGTGGCATCATCACCTCTAGAAAGGCACCGTGATGGCTCCACCTGTACTGCAGCTGTATTAAGGACTGATAACGGCGCTGATTTGGATGTCATTGAGAAGCAGCTCTCAGAGCACAAGTTACTGGAGTTATTTCATCAACACGATGCTCTGGCAGCAGCCTCACGCGTCTTTATTGGATTTTTCCCCTACTCCTTCCCAATCTCCTGTTTTGGTCGGCTGACTAAAAATTAAGCAACGTTTGGAAACCCAACCTGAACTGCTTTTTAACATTGTTTGCCTAAAATTCAATCTTAAATTAATTGAAGTTAATTCCAAATAGCACTGAGAAGCTTCGTTTGCTGTCAGTGGCACCAGAGGCAGGCCAGATGTGCCCGCACCAGGAGCGTGCAGGACGTCTGATGGCACCCGAAGGACACTGCCCATTTTTAACTGTTCATTTAAAAATCCTGTACTGACTTTGTAAGTTGGAATTTCTGCTTTAACAGAACTGCATTTGGGATGATGTTTAGGATGAAATTAATGGAATATTTGGTAGCATCTCAGCAGCAACCACTTCTAACAAACTGGCAGGCTCGGATACGGCACGGTGGTTTCCCTGCTGCTCTGTTGGAAGAACAGAGGTTTGGCTTTTCGCTGGAGATGGAAATTTTTACTCCGTAAGCACAATAGAAAGCACAGCAAAAGCAGCGATGATTGATGTGACTTAATTTATGGTGATTGTCACTGTCATAATGAAACAGCCCTAGCAATTAAGATAATCAAAGGCAGTATTACACAGCATGCAGATTTCTCCCCCCTGTTTTTCTTCCTTCGTGCCTTGCCTTTGGGTAGGATGACCCCTTGAGGTCACTTTCACCCTTATTAGGTGCTTAGGAAATTTTTGCTATTAGTTAAGAGCCATTTGGAAGTATTACAAATAGAGATGAAGGTATGAATTGTAGTCTTAAGACTCCGATGTTTTTTTTCCATTAGCTACATTCCACCGTGAAGACGAGGACCTGCCCGAGTGAGTCAAAGTTTCAGCAGTGCCCATCACCCAAATACCAGCTACTGCAGCCGAGCCACTGTGACAACGAAGCAGAGACCCTGGCACCGGATAAACTCATGTCAGGTGTGATGCAAACCGACCTGCAAATGCCACAACTTCTGCCAAACTCCACTTAAAAGATTCTAGGAGTGGTTTCTTTCTCCTGTTAGAGAGCAGCACATCGCTTCTCTGAAATCCTCTCATGGCCAACAGCTTTAGAGGCAGATTTGAACTCCTTCCCCCAGGAGCAGAGGACAACCTTTGTGCCAGCAGCATTCCTTTAATCCTTCCTACTGGAGCCCACTGCAATTTCACTGATCCGTATCCTCCAAACGAAGCACGACCATGAGCTGAGCCACGATTTTGGAAGTCCCCGAGCTCTGTCCCGCAGTGGGCAGGTCCCGGAGCTGGCGTGCAGCCGCTGCTGGCGCTGTGAGGCCGTGCGAGCACACCCGTGCCCTGCAGAGCCAGCAGGAGGGACGTTGCTGACCCATTTTGAGGGTCTGGATGCTAACCTTGCTCTGCTCAAGACACCGAACCTCTGCAGTGTTGGCCCATGCTCCTAAAACTAATTTCTCCTGGACCTCTTCACCCGTGTCTTTGTGTTACAGAAGTGCCCAACGCGATGTCAGTGCTGCTGTGTCAGTGGCACACTTATCCATGTGGCAACAGAAACTAAGAGGAGTTGTATTCCACGTGTAACTGCTATATCTAATGCTTAATCCTCCAAAGTTTGGGGCCCTTGTGCAACAGGACGCTACAAGGCCATGTATCACGGAGAAGACCATCAGGAGATAAGAGCTGCTTCAGATAAACCGGGAACAAACCACAGGTAAAAGAGAAGGGGCTACCCTCAGGTCCACAACAAACGAGCAAACCACTTGAAATATGAGACACAGACAGGGAGAAATTGGGCAAAAACCTGTAAGGGCTGTAAAGTGACCCTAGGGCCAGGGGCACCCGGGGGCCCCAGACTGGAGCTGTTTTGCTACGCACAAGCCCCGGTGCAGAGCCAGTGGTGCCACAAGAAAGGGCACGGGGCTCTGTGCAGGTCTAACCCCCCAGCCTGCCAAATATACAGCTGCAAGTCAGAAATCGGGGGGTTTTCTTTAACTGTATTGCTCCTTCCAGCCTTAGCAGCCCTTCAGATCAGCTGTCGCCTCCTCGCGGCACGCACTGTGTCGGGGAGCAGAGCCAGCAGCCGGCTGCCCCGAGCCCTGCTCACCCTTCAGCTCCAGCACTTGGGGATGGTGAAAAAAAAAATACCGTGGCATTGTCTCAGTGGCATGAAAACTATTTCTGGTAAGCGCTGCGTGACGTGTAAATAGAGGAAAAGCTGCCACCTTAAATGGAGCTGGAGACAAATAATTATTTAATTCCGTTCAGCTCGTGTTTCCTGCGCTGAGGACGAGTGGTGTGAGCGGACAGGACGCTCACCCAGCTCAGTGCATTCTCAGTGCAGGAGCAAGCACACAGCAGTGCCTCAAAGCGATCCCGAGCACGGCACCACCTCTGCTCTGCTGCCCTTTTACAGCCATCAAGGTTTGATTTCTCCTCACACCAACCTCATTTTGTCTCTGCTTTCTGTTTCACGTCCTACTACTCAGTGTCTCACAGGCTTTCCATCCCTGCACCTCGATAAATAAAGGCTAAAAGGCCCGGTAACACCAGGCAGCACAGAGGGTGTGAGGGAAGCCCGGCACCGAGCCGCTGTCCGGATACCCGCAGCCAGACTTCACGAGGGCTGCAAAGCTTCTTGGCAATGGGAAATAAAATTTATCAGAATAAACCTGTGCTCTGCCTGCAGCTGCAGCTGACAGAGGGAGAGGGGAGAGATAAGAAGGGCAGATCGTGTTAAAAAGCGCATTTGGCCAGAAGAGTTTTGATGTAATAACTTTTTTTTTGCCGTAAATTAGAATCCCACACATGAAAGCTCAAACAAGCAGGCTGACATTTTACAAAGGCTACTGTAAATATCAGAAGATGCAATAAAAATGCAGATATCAAAGATCTCGGATGATTACCATAACCAACACAAGGAGTTCAGAAAATTAACTTTTCTGTTTGGCAGATCCGCCAGGGTCCCCAAAATGGGAGGCTCTGGAAGCGAAAGAATGACATTAATTCATCATGAAGGGGCGCTCACTTACTTTCTGTTCCTTTTCCTGGCGCGGTTGTAAGCTTCTAGACCTTCTGTTAGTGTCTTCAACTTCTCTGGCTCCACCTGAGTGAAGGTATGAACACCAAACCACATTACCCAGACCTGCAATTATCAAACACCGCTTTTACTGTACTAGACATGCATTATTAAGGAGCCGAATTTTCAGCGCATCCGCAAGACACCGACCTTCCCAGCAAAGAAATGAAGGTATAGCTCCACACACCCCCTCATACACAGATCCACACGCTGTAATTTCTCTACATATCCACACCATTAATAGCAATACAAAAACAGAAGGAAAACAGTATTTTAGAACCCATTTTTTTTTTTATATTATTGAGGTAAATGCTGCTGTCTCACATCCCGTACTCCCATTTCACCAATATACGGGACATCTCCAAGACTACGTGGCACAGCGAGGTGCCTGACACACATCCTACAGCTTTTACAGGTGCTATCACCATGAACACGTTTTACATCACCTCGCCTTCTGGCCGCAGTACGTACGGCCCCAGCTCAGCAGCGCTGCTGATGGCACGGCCAAACCCCGTCCTGGCTCCGAGGAGCTCAAAGACCTTACAAAGATTGGGGTGGGACAGGGCAGGAGGAACACGCCCTACTTATGCAGTAGGAAATTACGACTTTCAGCTACTGCTTGCTTTAGCCAGCTAACTTATCCATCCTCAGAAAGGGCTTTTATTTTTTTAAATTCATTTATTTATTGCTAAGCGCAAGTTTTAGTGATCTGCTGAGTCAGGACCGAATGTGAGCACGTGCTGACCAGGGCTGCTGAGCTGGTCCTTGGGGTACTTTCACTGGAAATTTCGGTTCTCTTGAAATCACCCAGAATTATAATCTTTTAAGCAAGCTGTCCGTAGACCACAGCACCTGCTCACAGGCACCACCAGTTAGTGCCAGTGCAAACACCACAAACACAGAGGCAGTGAGTTATATCGTCTGTAGGATCCTATCGTCTGCCTTCACAATACAATATCCCACTTAACTCCGCATATTATTTTGATTTGGTTCACAGTCGTTTCTGCTTGTAAAACCACAAAAATACGCTAAAAATACATCACTTTCAAGAAAATGACCTGATAAATTCCGTTTTTGTCAGTAGCGTTATGTTTTGCTTGCCTTATTTGCATAAGCTAACAAGAACCTTATACAGCATTTGTTTCATTAAAAAGTACAGCTTGTATTTTGACACAAAGAAAATTAAATCCGTAAATACAAATTTATTAAGCGTGCCTACACACAATCCTAAAAATAAATTCGAATGCAACTTCCATCTAAAGCCAACCTTTCGATGAATAAATAATTTATATTCACAACGAAACTGATTTTTAGACGTGACGATCTGAAGTTAATGAGCAGGCAGGTTGTCAAAATCCCTCGACACAATGCCAAATGTAATAAATACACGGTGAGACCAAATTTCACATCTTGAACTCCTGCATCTGAGAACGAAGTTGGGAACTACGGCAGCTTCAGGAACTTAAAAGACGAGTCATTACGGCTGAAATCTGCACGCAGGGAGGCAAGGTTTCTGCTTTCATGGAAAATATGCAATTCTGCTACAGGCTGCAGCACCTCTCCCTTCAAACTATGGGCACTGGTAATGCCAGGCTGCAAACACTTCACACAATTCCTTTCCCAACCAGATTTTGTAATAATACAAACGCATACAGGTGAAATGTGATCGACTGAGAGGCTGCAGAGCTGTGAAGGATGCACAGAGGAGGCTCAGGAGCTGCATGAGGCGAAGGGCCCGGCCGCAGCAGTGGATGCAGCTTCCCTGTCTGCGATACGCTAACGCTCAAGCCCACAGCTTACAGTCCCTCTGAAAACTACTACAGAAAAAGCTTACATTTTTCAAACTGCACAGAATTTAATGGTAGAAACGTAAACATCCCAATTCTTTAAAGCTGAACCTTTACTTTGTGGCGATGCTGCCGGGAGCACTCCAATGGCACTGCATCCATACAAGGGAGGAATAATCACAGAATAAACTTTTGCAGAGTGTTGCACGTGTCTGCCCTCAGGTACAAAGGAAAATTAAAGGGTAAACTACTTTTGCAAACAGTAGCACATTTGGGTAACAAGTGACTTATGTGATAAAAAGGATCAATATCTTCATTACAGGAATTGTGTGATGGTAGAGCAGCCAAGAAACCCAAACCTGCTAGCACTTGTTTGAAGTAGGGTCAAATTAAAGTAACATGGAATTGGGAGCAAGTATAACAATAGGTTGGGATTAATCATATCACATCCCCTCATTTACAAAACCCCCTTACAATAGTGATACACACAGACTGGATTTTCAGGACTCTGATAAACCACACCTATTCTTATCTCTAGGACGAGAGAAGCTCAGTTTCCTCAAGCAATTATTTACAAAGGCTTGGTAAGAGCCCAGTGTTTTATGCCACTCTATAAAAAAAACAAACATCCAGAAGCCAAATTATCATGAAACAGCAAAAACTGGTTTTCCTATTGTAATTTTTTTAGCATCAAGTACTAATTAGGTGTAAAATCTGAAAGAAATCAACTTGTGCTACCACAGACAGGAGGCTGACTGCTAGCACGGCTGCCTGGCAGGAACTGCCGGATAATTATTGCAACTACACTATAAGGTGCCCAAATTCTGCTTTTATGCCATTTTACATAAATCTATTGCAGCAAAAAGCAGAATTTCCCCCCAGAGAAATCAGCAGCACCTTCCCAGTGAGACAGGAGCCGGCTCAGAAGCACAGACAGGTGGAGCTGCTGCTCCTGCTGCCCCGGGGGCTGGCTACCAAAGGCAGCTCTCACCAAGGTGCTGTCCTAGCTGCTCGACACGTAGAAGTATTACTGCATTTAACACCCAAATTCTTAATGGAAACAAACACCAAATTAATGTACAATACAGTGAACAGAGAGTGTACAATGTACAGTGAGATTCCAGAGCACAGCTGCAGCGATGTTACATGTAGGAAGTTAACATCTGATTATACAAATATGTCACAAGATGTTCTAAGAAAGCTTCTCAGAAAATCAAGTTTCCAGAACTGCTGCTCATGAATTACAACCTTTGGGGATTTTCTGGAGTGCAGGCTTTCTGGAGACCTTTTGGTTTTCAAGGATTTTTGGTTTTCCTTTCTATTGCAGACCAGGCTGTCCAAACATCTGAAGGACGTGGCTGTGCGACACGTTACAGGAACGTTTGACCAGGTGCACAGCCTGCCACTGTGCACGCCAGTTCCTGCCTGCTTTTGGCTAGAAACACCGCTATGATACAGCCCGTGCACGGTTTCAAACTGCTTCTCACCTCGTTCCTGTTTCCTAGCATCACATAATTCAGCCTGAAATCCTGACCTCTGAAAGGTCACTCGCTCTGTACTGCTTGGTGGTGAGCATCAGCCACACACATATGTAAATATATAAATAAATATATAAATATGTAAATTCATGTATAGAACAACCATGAAATGGGACAGCCTTCTGAAGAGAGGGGATCTGTTACATGGGACTTCCTGACGAAGAACTTGGAAGTCTCTCTTGCTGCCTCGGCAGTACTGCATCCGGAGCATTTCCTTGGTCGAGAAGGGATCCACAGGTTGCTTTCCTGTTGTTTGTGCTTCAGTATACAATAAAATCTATGCCATTAAACGTGATGTTACACATTGTGTTTAGATATTGTACAAAAGAGACAGAAATAAAGAAAGGGGGTTTGCACAGAAACAACCACACGTTCTGGTAAACACAAATTGGGAGTGAAGTTTAAAACAATTGCTATGGAATGCAAATGAAAAAAATCACCTCTTTATAAAAGTTGAAAAAAAAACTCTTAAAACGTATCAGAACAATCTTATAAATATGGGTTTGCAATTAAATTTGTGAAGTTAACACAAATACACTGCTTGGAGCATGTATGCAGCACAAGCACTGTGCTCATCAGTCATATGGGACCTTGACATTATTCACATCCTTATTTTTCCAGTTTAATCCTTTACTGTTTGTTACTCATTTGCCTACAGTTTTAAAAGTGATATGTACCTTGGGAATCTAATCTTTATAAGGAACGAGCTCTTCAGCATGCAAGTGCTGTTATTAAAGCACGGTGACTTCTCCAAAGTAAATACTTCTGTTCAGAGTACTCGAACGGGAGCTCCCTGAAACCACTGAGGCTACGGAGATCAAGGAAGAAGCCTTGAGAGAGAGACTGAAGTTCTCTTGAACTGGGGTTGAAACCATTCCAGCCAAACAACGCCCCAGATATTTATACCACCAATTCATCAAAGACCTGACTGTTTGAGCAAATGATGTTTGCACATCAACCTCAGATAACTCCACGACCAAGTGCAGGAAGAGCAGCGCTGGGTACAATGCGGAGATACCAGCTCTGGCTCGAGGCACCCCTGAGCTGTGCACTGCTGGGACCCAGAGCACCCCGCAACATTTCTGGGCATTGGCTCTTGGGCACTTCATGGGTAAAGGAATCTTTTGGTCCAAGCTGCTATGGATACTCTTACATTTTTATGACTGTTGTCATCTGCTAGTCGGGACTATGGGAAAAGAGTTGTAATTTTTAAGCGGTTTGACTTCTTCATGACAAAGGTAAAATGATGTTTTGCTAGGTTTTGGCTTTCTACTTACGTATTTTTAAAATTGGCATTTTTTTCAAATAGCGCTTTGGAAACATTTACATGTAGAAGATGTGAAATAGTTTATGAAAACTACAAAAATATGTTACACACTTAGTGGAGACTAGAACTTAAAATACTTATCATACATTCTCTGACAAACATACCGTTAGCATTAAAAACCCTGCAATTTAGGACAAACGAGCAAATCGGAGTGCTTTCTTCACTATTATAAGATGTTCTAGACCTCTTTTCATGGCGAAATGCATGTACCCAAGCATTGTATGTGACAGTCAGCAAGATTTTACTTATTACACACTCCTCAATCTGATTAGATCGGTTTTCCTTTTTGCAGTTTTCACCACTTTTAGACGTCTCCACATGCCTTACACACCATACCAGTTTCTTTGGACACAACACCTTTAAGTTCACCTAAATACACACTGTGAGTTTAACAATTCTGGGGATGAATTCCATTCTGCAAGCTGTAGTATGGAGGGAAAAAAAGCAATTTGTACTATTAAAATACCAGACAAGTTAAAAAAATAAAGGACCAAGATAAAGCATTGATACGTTATGGTTTGTATAAGCATATGTACACGTGTATATAAGAAGAGAGATAGATATGTGCATATATATATAAATATACCTTCCCCTCCTCAGCGTTTTGTTGACATGAATTGTGAACTTCTTCTTCTCTTACTAGTTTTCCAGGCCATGAAGTCAGTCCTTTGATTTGGCCCCAGACCAAGTCGCCAACATTAAACGTCCTCGGCCTGTAATGTATCAGCTCGTTTGAAGAAGGGGAATCTGGATTCCTTAGGTCATCTTCACTACTGATGCTTTTAGCATCTGAAGGGCTAGGCACACACCCATTAATGCTTTTGGCATTAAAATCTCCATTGTAATGGATATAGTCTTTAACTAATGAACTTTCCAAGCTATTTGAGGAACTTGGAGATTGCTCTTCCAGAATCAGGTCTTGTTTAGAAGTGTTCAGCAACTCCCCAAATCCTCTGTTCTGCTGAGGCCTATTTCCATTTATGTGTGCACATCGTTCCACAGTGTTCTCCAGTCTTTCCTTAAAACTCATCATAGTTCTTTTGTAATTGTTATACCTGAAATTCTCCTCCAACATTTTATCACTTTGACAGTTTCGCTGTGATAGCAGTATCTGATGCTGCTCGCCTTGTAATAATGGCAGTGTGGAGATGTTATTGGGCCTTTCGTGACAAGGACTACTATGGATATGTGCAGAGTGGTCTAGAAACTCATCACATTTCCATCTGTTTATCTCACTGACAGGACTTTGCTCCCCTTCCCACTGTTTTTTGGGTGTGTTACAACTTGTTGATTTGTAATATTCATACCCATCCCCTTCACTTGAATTTTTACCATGCTCTGAGTTCTTCAGTATTCGCGTTCCTCTAGTGTTCCTTATCCTACCTTCGTGATCAGAAACAGCAATGTTTCTCCCATGGATTACTGCACTGACAGCACTAGAAAGATTTAATGGGTCACCAATTGAGGCTGTGAAGGCACTCATGGCACTCAAAGCTGGAATGGGACTCATTTGTGTTGTACTGCTTACGGCAGTGGTGATTACTACTTGCATTCCCTTGCTTGCAGCATCTACAACTGCTTTGTAGATAGCGTCCACTGATGTATCACCCTGAGCAGCGACGTTGAGGTTATCCTTTGCCTGTTGTCCAAGAGATGGTTCAGTTCTTTGCTGCAAATCACAAGATGTTTCTTGGAAAGGAGGAAGCATAGTGTTGGAGCTCTCGGGAACTGGTGCCATTCCCATCTGAGTGATCATCCTTTTGTTTAGGACAGCAGCATCTTCCTGCATTCTCACCTGAAAAAAAAGGGAGAGAAAAAGATGGAAATTGCTATTCTGCTTAAAACTCCACTTTAATAGAAAACTTTGCTTCATTTTAGTAGAAAATCAGGATAGTGGCCAGGGGTTATGATGTTACAGTATATAAACAATTTTACTTTGGTTATACATCAGTTATGGAGCTTAAAGCTGGATAAACTTGATAGAAAAAAATAAGTTAAAAACTGATAGGAAAGTAAAGCCATCAGCTGTTACGACTTTACCTCATGGTTCTGAACGAATGCCTTGCATGCAATGACACAACCTGGCAGGTACTGCTGAGACTACATTTTTATCTCCTCTTTCACAGGTTCTTTCTTTTCTGAGGTTCCCTCTTCTGAAGTACAGCACCCGCCTTTTTTCTCTGAAACTCTAACCAACTCCATCAAGTATTTCAATATTTCTCGTCAACTATTCTCTTTTATTCCTTCTCAGACCCCCAGTTTTTCCTCTTTCCTCCCAACCAACTGTTCCTCTAGGCTCCTTACACGTTCCTCTTTCAGTCTGGAAAGTAGGCCATCGCTGTCCTTTTGCAACTGGCCAGCATTTCTATTTTCTCCCTTTCGTTTATGTGCTTCTCTCATGGGATCTCTTTTTACTTCAGTCCCTTGTAAACCATGTCTGCATCCCTTTGCATTGCAGCTGTAATGTCAGGAGCTGCCACAGTAAACTGTAACCTTAAGATTAAAGTAACTGTGCTTTTTGTATTTCCTGTCACATACGTAGGCAGTGAAGACGACATCAATAATAGTGCTTTAATAAAAAACAATAACAAACAAGGGCAAAATATTTCCCAAAGCTCCTTTAAATACTCACCATTACTATTTATATAACCGAGAAACTGAACCAAAAAATACTGAGATAAAGCTACCAGAATTCATATAAAAACAAAGGGAGGTAACAGGCAGCTGGAGGACTGTGATTTTGCAGTAGCAGTGAAATGCCTACACTGAGAAAATGACACGTCTTCTTTTTCCTTCTTAAAGGGTAAAAGCACTCACTGGCACTATGCACGCTTCCGTCTTCACATCTTGAGTTCTGCAGCAACCACAGTAATGCTGAATAATAATACACATGCTGTACCTCTGCTTTATTACCTGTTTTGGTTGCTATGCTTCCTGTCAGTTTGCTAGTTTAATAGTCCAGGTTGCATTATGAAGAACTATTAGGTGAATAGCATGAAGGTACCATTTTTTGCACAGTTTGCCACTGCATATTCATTCTAATCCCTGCTTTCTTCCATTTATACAAATCTGCATCAGTTACCTCTCCCATTCAATTCCACTGGGAATATAAGAAGGATCTGTGCCATAGTCACCTATAATCATTTATTAAGTTTCTAATTACTATAAAAAGGTATCAACATTTCCTTCTAACCACTGAATCTTTGAGTGATCTAAAAGGGAATTTATGATATTTTTTTTCAGAATGGAAAACAGTTTTGCCAAAAAATGTACAGTACTTATCAGAATGCACATAGCCTGATTTTTTCCAATACATAGAGCACAGCTGTTTCTGAAGATACTATACCCAATTTCTAAGGAAGAAGGTATCAAGTTTCAGTAACAAATGTTACTGATTTGCAAAATCCAAAAACTCCTGAAAGAGGCAAGCAGCTGTATATATCATATTGTCTTAATCACTCAGCAAAAAAAAAAAACAACAACAACAAAAAAAGCCAAACTATGGAGGATATAACTTTACCTACTTAGAGTTGCACATTTGTTTGAATATTGATTTAATTTTGCTTTCTACCTGGAAATTTTGGAACAGACATGCCATGGGGTTTGGGTTGTTAGCCGGGCCAGGAATTGGGGGCTGGCCTTGAAAGCCCTGCATGTTCTGATACCCCTGGAGAAGGTGCTGTTGCTGCTGATTTGAAGGAAACATCTGATTGTTGTTTAATAGCGACTGGAGATGACTCAGTTGATGGTTATTCAAAGTAGTGTTTATAGATGACATGTCACCTGTAATTCAAACACAGGGAAACAGAAGTCAGTACAGTTTTCAACAGTCAGGAGGAATTTTCCTTGACTCAAATTTCAACTGACTGCTAAGCAAATGCCTCTGTAAAACAACACTTTTCCCCTTCAATCTTCTACGGAATGGTCCTCAAGGCATGTGTCTCCTAATCTTTGTTCCTTTCTTTCTTCAGCACTGCTTCTTTTGCATGTCACATCTATCTGGACTCTTTCTAAAGGTTTCTGACATGACTGTCTCTGCCTTTGGAACGGTACACGGCCAAGTATGGCAGAATGAGCTGCCATCATATCCGTGCCTTGGAATCTTACTCTTAGTATCCAAAGAGTGACTGCTTCAAACAGTACTGGGGTGGTGAGGGGGGAGGAGAAGAGAGAGAGAAAAAAAGAAAATAATTTAAAAAAACAACAAAACTTGTTTTTCATTAACTACGACAAAATAATGTGATCTAACTGCACGTGAGCAAAGGCTTTTTGGATCACAAACATGTTAGTCCACACTCCACACATTTTTTGTTTTTTAGTATTCTAGAGATGCGATTGTATTAACATTTTCTATAATGTGAACATCTCACCAAACATGAAAACTCTAGTTCTAGTAAAATAAGCATGCTGTTGAACCTGACTTTGTGATATAAAAAAGCTTAAAAATGTATCAATTTCCGAGTTTTTTTTTTTTAATATAAAGTTCATGTTTTTCTTAAAATTTGCATTTGCAGAATCATTGGTTATCTATTTTACATTAAAAATGTCCAGTAGGATTGAGTTCACAGTAGCCATTTAGTAGGGAGGTATGAGGTATTAAGCAAAATACTTATCAGCTCTACCACTATTATTTCCTCCTCCTTCTGTAGGAGGAATCATTGGCTTATGTGGTCCAAAAATCAGAGGAGTGCTAGTTATATTACACATTCTGGGTAAAGTTCATCAAAAGACACAGGAGAAAAACTTGTATTTAACAGCTTTTTATCATTCATTATGGGATGCAGGTGCTTGTTAGTGAGATGTACCCTGGCTTTTTAAACTCCAAGACACAGTTAAAAAAAAAAAAAGAAAAACAGAGCAACGAGAAAATATAAATACGCAACAAAGGGCTCAAAGGGCAACCTTCCTCTTTGAACTTGTGCAAGGACTTGCTTTGAGTGCTTTATGTATTACTTTACAGGGAGTCTGCTTTCTGATGGTTTTGGCACTTTTGATTCATTTGGAAAAATGCACTTGGCCACTTTTCATCTACTGCACAGCTACTCGTACTAACCCTGTGATGCCACATGCACTTGAAATGAAACAGTGCATCCCAGAGATGCATCGAGGCTTTTATTACTTGAAAAATGAAACGAGTCCAATCGCTTAGAGAATTTTAAGGCGTGTACAGTAGGTCTAGGTGGCATCAGAATTAAGAATGGAATATAAAGTAATTTCCAAAACCAGTGTGAAGTATTATTGAATTAAACTAGAATGTAGTTAAAATGTCTTGCAGTAACAGTTATGTTTTCTCAATAAACAAGCTGTAACATACAAAAGCCTTATTAAAAAAAGTATGATAAAGTGTCACCTTGAGAAACTAGAATCAGAAATTCCCCCTCCCCAACCCTCTTCCTTTTTTTTTTCCTTTTATATCTGTGAAGAAATTGAACTTACCAAGCAGACCTGTCCCCAGTAGAGGGTTAAGTAGCTGTGGCACCACAGAGTTATTGTTGAGTTTAGCTGGACCAGATGTATTCCCAGCATTATTAGATATGTTCAGCAATGTTTCTGCCATTGACACCACTGCTGTCCCACCACCCAGGGTTGAGACAGACAGTGCTGCCACTGCTGATGATGTAGTGGTTGTGGTAGTGGTTGCCTGGGAGGAGGTGGCTATGGAAACCTCTGGATGATTAGCGGTGTTGCCCGATGCAGAGTTCAGGACACCTCCCACCAGCTGGGGATTCAAGGCCATTAATGCTGAGGCCCCAGAGACAGCTGGGAGGAGCAGGGGGTTGGAAGTAGTGTCAGTGCCTGAAAAGCTTGGTATAGGGTTCCCCAGGGGGTTGGTTAAAAGGGTCTCAACCCTGTTGCTTTCTGACTGATTGCTTGGCAAATGGTCAGGTGGGGCTGTCATCTGGGTTACTGAGGGCAAAGGGTTATTTTGCTGTTGCAGCAAATCTGAGATGGTCAGATTGAAAGATGGTAGGGGAAGCATGGCAGCTGCTTGGGCTTGGTTCTGGAGGAGGGTTGCTAGAAGCTGAAAATGAACAGGTTGCAATACCTGCCCATCCACGTCACTGGAGAGAAAAGCTAAAGCAGCATTTACATTCGGGTTGAGAAAACCTAAAGGGTTGAGGTTGACCTCAGACTTGCCTTCTCCTGCTGAAGGCTGCAGTATATTTAATAGATTCTGGTTTAGGAGATGTTGCTGATTCACTGGCAAAGAGATAGGTAGAGAACTGAGGAGGTTTTGATTCAAAGAATGTGGAAGATTGTTGTTTGAAGAGCTGTTCTGCGGGAAATGAAGCGAGTGTTCGTGGCCAGCGAAAGGGAAATCGCTCCCGATGGGCAGCTGGCTCTGAAGTGGGTTTCCGGCTGCAGTAGTGACTATAACACCATCCTGAAGAACAGATGTTGTCTTTGTGATGGCAGGTTGGCTGGTGCCAGCTATGGCTATTGATGATGACGGTCCTGAACCCCCTGCAATGCGAAAGAACAAAAATATTAATAGCATGCAGCCTGCTGGGAGACGGTCATCCGAGATACAAAGCAGCTAGGTCAATCCAAACCAGCAACGTTTGATACCCACGCACACGAAAGAAAATGCTTTCAGCATCCAAACTTGATTTTTTTTTTCTTTTTCTTTTTAAATCTGAAGGAATCTGCCATCCACTACTTCAGATACTCCAGGCTGTGCCACATCTCATCGGAAATTCTCAGACTATACACTTGTATCTCCCTTCAATTTTTTTCAGTGGGGTTTCATTCATTACATATTTTGATAAGTGTAAAACTAAAAGCAACTGCAACTTCATTTACTTTGTCACAGACCAATAGTAAATTAACTACTAGGATGAAAGATCAACGCAAGGTATGAATGATGCTCTGTGAAAAGTGAGAGTAAACTCTACATGCAGATGTGAAAGTGATGCTCTTCTTTTTCCAGCTGTATTCTATTAATGGGGTTTTGGATAATTATTATCTAAAGCATTATTTTGGACTCCTAAGGAAAAAAAGGCAATGATTATAATTAACAATTTACAAAGAAAAAAATGTAAATAATTGGGTTGGTCTAGCCATATCCATCACTTGGCATGAAAAGAAAGATGAACCGGGTAGATTTGTGATGAGGGAAGAGGGAAAGAACAATAAAGTTTGTTTGGGTATCTCTGTACCCCTTCACCACAGCTTGAAGTATAAAGTACATTACTCATTGTCTTTTACTTAAGGCAGAGTGGTCACGCATAGGAAACATACAGGAGGAGGAGTCTTGGAGAAGTAAAGCCAGTGAAATTACCTTGAAGTACACCTTTCTACTTGATTCACTGGAGAACAAACAGTAAGAATATGTACTGAAATTATATAATGCACATATAAAAAATATAAAGGTATTAAACTGTGGTTTTGCTGCAACAAAATTATTTTCTATTCTTAATTGCCCTGCAAACATAGCTGACACCATAGAGATCAAAGGTACTGATTATCAGAAAGCACCAATTATAATTTTTCTAAGCAAATACCATTTGAAAGGGGATATGTAAGTACGCGTTTAACTGGTAGGAGCAGAATCCAATCTTTACATCACTTTTAACTTAAAACACCTTTTTCAAGGACTGCAACATATCGACAGCTCAAAAAGGTACAAAATGAGCACAGTTCATGAATCACTGCACTGAGCTCAGGAGAAGAAAGCCCATACGCTCTCTTGCAGGTGCAATTATCATATTTCTAGACAGAAGGAAAACAATAAATTAATGACAGGTGAAGTAAGAACAAATTGTAATCATAAAGCACAGGTTATCGTATTCTGTTGAGAGGAGAAATATGTTAGAGCAACACAACCAGTTTTGTGACAAGCACATTTCTCTAGGCAGCAGTTTGGAACAAAAAATGCATAAGCATTTGGGGGAAGAAACAAACCATGCACTGAAAATATATATCCCACTGGGGTCCCACTTACGGCTCTGGGTTTAAAATTTCAGATTAGACAGGAATGGCACATGCTTTGCCTTGACACACCGGGAATCAGCAAATGCCTCATAAATACCTGAGAAAACAGCACCCATACCCTCCCCTTCTAGCTCGGAAACACAGACTCCCAAATCACGGACACCCTCCCAAGAAGAGTTACTGAAGAGCTGCTAATAAGGGAAGTTGATCAGATGTTATTCAAAACTGTGATGAAGACACTAACAGCAAACATCTTGGTACAGAAGGATAAAAGCTACTGCTATGGCACATGTCTGTTTTCTGCCCATGTGTCTGTCCTGCTGCCTACCTACTTCTGGATACAAGCAGCCCCTGGCAATGTCTCCAGCAGGGAACGTAACAGCAAAAGGAAGATTCTTCCAAGCACATCTTTCTTTTTTTTTTACCCAAGGGTTTTGCTTTACCTTGCTACTATAGTAAAGAAGCTCACAGCAAAGACTTCATCCAGCTGAGAAGCGTAACTCAAAATTCATTTCAGTGTGCAATACTATTTATTTTTTAACACACAACCATCAACTCTGGCTACTCAAATTCAACGAGGCAAATTCCAGAGAACCTAAACTAAAACACGCCGCCTATTTTCCATTTTGTACCAACCTCCAAAATATTTTCAAATACATTTTTAGGTAAGTTGCGTAAAAATCTTTACGATCCTTGTGGCCAAAAGCAAATTCTTTGTGTTTCAATGGAGAAAAGAAAGAGCTCTCAGTTAAAATAGCTCCAAACTCTCCATCCAGCTTGTGATGGCTTTCTGTATATGGTGCCCCCATGAATATAAACCCCAATTTTTGTATTTTCAATCGGACCCAAGCTCTATGTCTGATTTATGATCCTATTTGCCATTCCACACAAGTAAGCGATCACACCAAAGACTATCAGCTACGAAGCAAACCTCAAACCTGTAAGACTGCTGCTCTAGGTTTTTGTCAAACACCGATCTGCTTCTTATCCCCCATCAGACATTACTTCTGGAGATCCAACGTGAGAGCTCCGGAGCGCATTCAACACTTGCTCTTTCTGCATATTAATCAGGCGATTAATTGCTACTGGGAAAAAATATCTTGATGGATTCTGACCAGAAGAGAGAAAACGCGCACGTATTTCAGCCTAGACGTGCCAAGTTCAGAAGTTGAAGAGGTGACGAGCAGCCAGAGCTCAGCAGCAGGAGAAAAGCCTGAGACAAACGCAGGCTTGCAACTCTTGCAGGCACAGAGCTCTGCCAAAAGTTCTTTTGCCTACTGTTGAGGAAAGGGAACTGCCTTTGTCATGCACCGAGAAGAAGAAATATCCAGAGTGCCAAAAAATAAATAAATATTAATCCATTCATCCCTTAGAAAGTGAAATAAATGTTTTGGGAATAAATAGATGGAAATTGAATAAGATACACTTTTAAAAATGATTCCTTCGTGGGCTACAGGGTTTTATTTATGTGCATTTTTGTTTTGTTTTCTTTTGAAATAATGTTTATTTCCCTTTGTGGATTTTATCTATTCCTTTTTTCGAAGTATTGCCTGACAGGTAGTCTTAAGCAGATGCGATATGTTATGAAATCAATTAGCATTCAAGGAGATTCACTGCCTGCCCACTTACAGACATTACAACAGAAGATATTTATCATTCCTATATCAGCATTATTTTACCAGGAAGAGAGGAACCTCTATGTACACGATGCTTTTGGGATGGTACGACACAGTCAGAGGTCTGTCTAGTTTTGAATCCTGCTTTTTAAACAAGTCTAAGATTTAACATCAATAAAAGTTGGACAGCAAGCCTCAATGGCTGTGCTCAGAAAGGGAAGTTGGGGTATGAACCATGGATATCAAACTAAGAGAGTCAAAACCACTACAGTATTCCTGCAGTGGGTGAAGAATTGTGTCTGCACAAAATTATCTATGAGCAGTAATGACTGTGAATAATGCTCCTTACAAATCAGACAACTCAAGCCAAAAGCAAACTAGCACAGTCTTCATAGATACTAGAAGTATTTCTACCAAATCAAAGAGTGTTCATTCTATGTGCATTTTTCTAATTGCAATTAAAGTAAATTATTAAGAAAATGACAAGACAAAGAATATTTTACAAAGTATTCCTCCATAAGAAACCATCCGCTAGGTATTGCAATGCTTCAGTAGTTACAGTACATTGCTGAAATGTGTGAAATAAAAATACCGGCTAAGAGAGGTGCATTAGGTGCTCTGGAAACCAGAAGTGCTCAAAAATGGTTAATGAGGGACTTGCTCATTAGACATTAACATTTAAAACATTTTAAGAGTTGAAAACAAACAAATGCTTTTTCACGCTACTTTGCCGGTTCTTCCATTTCTACATATTTAATAAAAATGCAGCCCAGCTTTGTTTTAAATGTAAATTTTCTTCCTAGCTTTTTTAATTTAACAAGTGTCAAGTTTTTGAAACCCTCATCAGAAGCTCCTGGGCACCTCCTTGGTCACGGGAGCTTTCAGCAGGAAGCCTCCTCCCCCTCCTAGGGCTGAACTCAGAAGCAGCGGCAGAAGAAATCCGTAAGATTTTCAGAATGATCCTGCCAGAGCGGGGTGAGGAAAGTTTCACTGCACCCCTTACACTTAGATTACAAAGGTGTGGAAGCACAAAACATCACCAGCGCTGCAATTACTGTAACTGGGATCCCGGAGCATTCATGCAGCTCTCCCTGCACAGGGCCACCCGTCCTGCAAGGCCTCCAGAAGCTCCCACCATCGGTGTATGAAGCAAGGATTACTCTCAGCTTACAGACACAAGCACACAGTTTCCCTAAGTGGCAACATTTCTAAATCTGCAATTTTCGGAGGCTCAGCTTTCGGAGAACTCTGACAGCTGCTGGAAGCGGTGTGAGCTCATGGGCCTTCAACATTCAGCACAGCACGTTCCTGCTGCACCTCCACCTTCCTCCACTTACCGATAAACTCAGGACCAGCAGCTATACGTTTTTATAATTACATTCTCTGTATTCTTTCGGAATGGAAAACATTTCAGATATTTATCTGCTATCACGCTCGCTCGAGTGCTTTCAGTTCCGAAGAAACTGTAATTCAGCAGCTAGCCGCAACGCACTGCCAGGTGATTTCCTTATCAAACTGCAGTGCTCCTGCAGACCACGGAGAAATCACAAACTGATAAATAAAATGTTTGGCCCAGTTAAAGCCAGGACTGGGCTGGTAAGGTCCAGCACCTTGCCCCAAGAGAAGGCGCTCGCTGCCCACCCCTAACACCGTGCTTGCAGCCATGGCACCTCCTGAAAAGTCAGGGCAGAAAGCCCAAACCAGGTTCTAGGACAACAAAAATGCTTAAAATTAGGTATTTAAATACTTGACTGAATTTCAATCTTGGTTCTTCTCCTTGTCCCCATCTGTTCTGACTTCTCTTCTACGCTGTACCTTCACTGCTGTTTTTGAAGTGACTGGGGGAAATTCTCCTTACCCGCCTCGCATTTTGGTTTTTTAATTTTCTTCAAATTTGGGAAACTGGAAGTGCAA